CCAAAAAATAGACTTTGTGTCATGAGTTCGGGCATCGGGCCAGAATAATCGAGTATTGTGCTAAGAAGATCGAATATTGTAGGAGATCAACATACCAATGGATCAGGCAATACATCGAAGGAGAGGACGATACGCCAAAGGTTCGGACAAAGCATCGAATAAACCAATGATATGCCAAACAACATAGGATTCATGTTTCTAATCGTTTGTGTCTTGATCGAAGTAGTTTAGGTTGTAATTGAGTTAGTTTTGTATGTAACCATTCCAACTCAATTAAGTGCTCATTAGGTCTAAATCATGGCTGAATTAAGCCTATTAGAAGGCTCATTCAGTGACCTACAGTTGGATCAGGCGATGGCACCGCTCGACCAGGTAGTGGAACCACCTATGAGCTAGAAAGTACCGAGTATACGTTTTCGGAAGACTCAACTGTGGTACCGCCAGTGTCAAGCGGTGTTGCCGCTAGGACACAGTCTTCTAGATCGTGTTAGGTGATGGTACCACCTAGTGCAAGCGGTGGTACCACTAGTACCCTAAAAACCCAGGGATTTAAATTTTTGACTCCATTTCTGAAACCATTTTAGGCCTATAAATATCCCGCTCATTCTTGCTTGAGATAGCAAGAAAAAGATAAGAATGGGGAAAGAATTCTTGAGGAAAAAAAAGTGTGTTATATCTAAGTGTTGAGTCTCTTCCTCCTAGGGTTTAGAAGTCTTTCTAATGGAGGAGTGAGGTCTATTTAGAAAAGATGAGTATAAAGGTTCTCTCCTGATCCTATGAAAAGAAGAAAGGGTTATAACAAGAGTAGTTGATCTTTACTCGTTGAAAAAAAGATCGGTAATGAAAGTCGATGGCATCGAGAGAAGAGGAATTGGAAGTGGACGTAGGTCAGGACGACATAACCACTATAAATCTAGTTTACATTTTTTTATGATTTTTATTCTTATTACTGATTGATTTACTTGCTTACTACTCTTACTCACATTTTAAGTTAAACGCATTTTCGATACTAGTTTCATTAAACAAAAGTTTTCAAATCATAATTTTTCAAAATCACTAATTCACCACTCGCCCTCCCTCCCCCCTCCCCCCTACTCTTAGCGCCTTTATGATCCTAACATAGTTTTCCTAACTTATGCACCTTGGGCACATTTTGCTTTGTGTCTCCCGTTATAATGGGTTTCTTCTTATAGGAATCAAATTTTCTCGACTCATATGTCTTGGGCATATTTACACTCTCTGAGATGGTCTTCACATATTGATCGCCTTTATGCTTCCCGAGGTGCCCCTTCATCAATTAGTGTTGTCTCAAATTTGATCTAAAGATATACTTATCTTCAATATTGGAGAAGAGAGACTATTCCCTTTCCTATAAATCTACTTTAACTATGGAAGTGAGTCTCATCCTCTCATTTGAGCCTATGTGGTCCCTCTTGGGAGCTTTCTCTCCTTAGCCCTAGTTCTCATTTATAAGGCGTGTCAATCATTAGTCCTCTTCTTGACAGCGGTTCTTGAGCATATCATCTTCTTTGCATGTCGGCTCTTTAACATCTTGTTCTTTTATCTCTGTAGGTCGTGATGTCTTTCTTTTCTCGCACAAGCTCCACCTGATCTTACGATCGCTAGATAGCTAAGGAGGTTGACGCTTTGTCCTTGGACAACCCAAGGGTGGAGGAAGTTACATCCTCCCCCTTATTGGGAGAGTTAGTTCTCGTGAACCCAAAAGTTCTTCAAGACTTGGAGTTTATGAAAAACACATATGATAAAGACTCGGTGATGAGCATACAACACCTAGATCACTTGCAAACTAAGTACTTCATCCTAGTCAAGTTTGATCTACAAGTCCCTCTACCTGGTCATCGTTTATACGACACAATGTTTAGGTTTCTTTATTTGTCTTCTAATGCTATAGAGGTATTTTACTGGTGTCACCTCAAATTTGATCTGAAGGGACACTTGTCTTTAATACGGGAGAAGAAATATTTATCCCTTTCTTATAAATTCCCCTTAACTACGAGAGTGAGACTCATTCTCTCATTTGAGTCTCTATGGTCTCCCTTGGGAGCGTTCACTCATTAGCCCTTGTTCTTCTCTATAATGCAGGTCAATGTTGGTCTTTCTTCTTGATGGTGAGTCTCAAGTGCTCCTAAGATGTTGACACGATGTCGGGTCAAGGAACCTCACTGGGTGACAATGGTAGTTGAACCAGCGATTGCAATTAAGCTTGTGGCACCACTTGTTGAGCTAATTAGGAAAAAAAATACTGACAACTTGTTTCATGCCTATTAGCATCTGTATTTATTGAGTGAGATTTAAGAACACGTAAGCGGGGGATAAGCATGTGGCTCAAGGTTGTCCCGAGAGGCTCGAGTCATTAAATATACATTAGTATCGTATCGATGTTTATACTAAGGTGGATGCACCCAAATGTGGAAAAGGTGACTATTGCCCTCATTGAGTGAAAGTACTGTGGGCCGAGGGCAAAATCTCTTTATTTAAGTATTCATTGAGATGGTCGGTGAGCAAGTGTTCCTGCAATATCATGCCCTCCTAGCATCAAAATATTACGGGAAGAAGTTGTTGATAACCTAACTAGCTCAACCTAGTTCGGACCTATGTGCGTAGGGTTACTCGAGGTACTTTCGAGGTAAAAATGTCGAGCTCTCGAGATGGAAAGAGGTTTTCTAACCAGGTTCTTGTGACGCCTAAGTTGATAACCTAAGGTAGATGAATGTGGATGTAAGTGGTCGAAAAGTGCTCTCTTTTCATTATATTGATTATAAATTTTTATATTTAATTACAAAGGGATGAAATATTTTATAAAATATTCTTTAAGAACGTAACTTCTAACCATCTCCAACAATATTCTATTGAGAATGTGAGTGACAAAAGGAAAAACAATACGTAGTCAACTGTCTTATACCTTTGTACAATGGATATTATGTGAAAGTCATGATGCTCTAACATAAATTTGGTATCCATTCAATCCAAACGTTTAGGTTTATAAAATTATATATAATTCTCGTTCTCACGTGGGCACAGAAACCAGCTTAGAATTCACATGCATTGTCAAATGGACAAGTTTTGGAACTTAGTGTTGTCGATAGCTGCGTGGCAAAAGGATGACCGGTAATCGGAGAGCAGGTGCAGCACGGAAAACATGGTGCAGGCACTCGATTGGGTCATTGATAGGTCATTTGCCAGCTGATGGATGCGGGGAAGCGCTCACCAAGTGAGGCGATGGAGCTACGTGTTGGCTGCAGCGGAATTAGAACGCTGCTTCGTGGGGTTCGATCGTCACCCGATGGGAAACGCGACCGACCAATATCGTGAAAGCTCCAACTCCTCCTCCAAATGCTGGCATCACGGGTGACCGTATCAGACGGTTGAAGAAGAGTTGGGCTGACGCCGTGGCGTACGGAGGGGTGTCAAACGGGAGGAGTCCAGTCAATATTAAGCAGACGAAAACGATACGAATTTTGCGGCTGCCTCGCCCGCACGGAGACTCTGCGAAGGAACGCGACAACTGAGACGAAGTCGACGATTACGCCGCGCCCTGTTCACACAAATTACGCTGTTCCCGTTCCCACGTGTCCGCGACGCGGCGTTCCAACTGTCTCTGTGCGACGAAAAGGGCAATCTTCGTTGGTCTTATTTTCTGTAAAATAAAATTTTAATATATATAATAGTATGAGCGAATTCTCGAATTTTTTTAATTTTTGTAAAATTATCGAAAGTATCTCTCATTTTTTAGAATTCGAATATCACTTTTTCTTTTTCTTGATACCTGAAGTACCTCCGCTCCCTTTTTTTCTCTATTTTCTTTTCTTTTTATATGGGTCTGTCTAGTTATAATATTTTAATAAAATTAAAAAAATTATATTATAATTTTATATTATATTATAATAATATTTTTATAACATTGTTGAAAATATGGTAACATCATGTAAAAATATTATAGCTTAGATTCATCTTTGATGAAAATTTTATCGTCCTACCTACATAGAATCATAACATAAAAATTTACTTCTTATTTATTATGATAAGGAAGAGAAATACTAATTTTTCTCTCCCTTTATGATAAGGAATTATTTTTCTCATGATAAAATGAAAATAATCATAAACTTTCTTCCCCCTTATAAAGGCATATAAAAAATAACTCTTTGAGGAGGACTATTCTAACATACAAACGAAAATTATAGTTTTACTAATTTGAGCATCGGAGCTAATTTGAAAATCCTCCTTGGCCTTAGACTTTATATAGGTGACATTTCAAATAATACAATACTTCCATCTCAGAGTCACCTTAGAGACACTATAGATTTTACTTTAGATAAGCGTGATATTTCTTTCTCGAAGATACTTTAGATATTTTCTATGCACACGTGTTTAGACCATACTAGATTGATCGAGAAATTAATAATATTTTGTTAATATTATATTTTAATAATACTTTCATAAATATTACTATAGATATCGTAACACAGCGTAAAAGTATTGTAATCTTGATTCACCATCTATAAGAAAAAAAACAAAAAAAACAAGATTGGTGACTGATTATACAGTTAGAAGTATTTCAGATTAAAAAATTTATTATTAAAAATTTTATTCAAAAAACTTAAAAAGAGAGGTTTTTATCAAATATTATCCAGATATTAATTTGACGATAATACAACGAAATTACTTAATAAAATATTTTTAAATATTTACAAAGAAAAATAATTAGATTTGGAATATAATATCCCCAACGCGGTGCCAAATGTGACCGTGCAACATGGTCGGTGGAAGTCGTGGCGGGGGCGTGTCGCGGACAGCTAAGCTCGGGGGGCTATTGGGGGGGAGGGGGGGAAGCGTTGTCAGGAGTCGTCAACGGCCCACCCTCGCGTGCCGCACTCGGCCACCCACCTTTTCTACCTTTCGTGGTGGTGGGCCGGTGATGGAGAGCTTCACACGCGACGCCATCCCATCTAGAAGCGAGCCTCGGCACCACGGGACGCGGAAGCAAAAACACACACACGGCTTCGTCGGCTGCGTCCGCCACCAGCCTCTCTGGGGCAGCAGCACAATTCCGTGGTGTCTTTCGCTCTTTTGACTTCCTTTTGAACATGCTCTCCGCCTCCTCCAGCTTTCTTTCGCCGTTTCAGACATCGTGTTCAGCGTCTAGACATCTTCCTTCCTTCGGGTAGTATTAAAGTCATTTAGGACTTCTTCTCCCCCTCTTTGTGGATGCATAGTTTGGATGAGAGGCAGGCGGCAGTGGCATTACAGTAATAACAGGGTCCAATTCTTGGGCCCATGTGGAGAGGTGGGAGGAGCGGAAGAGGGGATATAAAACCGAGAAACGCGTTCGTCCGATGAATGATCTCCTATTTGGAAGCTAATCTTTCCTGCTCAGCTGCTCTTTTCGCGGTGGACGAGTTAGTAGTCGAAGACGAAGTGGAGTAGTGAGGCGGGCGGGGAGAAGAAGAAGAAGAAAAGAATTAGGGCTAGGGTTTCTGGAAGGAGAGGAAAAATATGATGCTTGGAGGTGGAGGTGGAGGAGGAGGAGGAGGAGGTGGCGGGGATGGTGAGTCGCTTGGGGGGCGGATGACGATGTTGGCTGGAATCCCGCTTCAGATGAACCCGGGTCCGGTGGGAGAGATGGTGGGCACGAGCGGCGGCGGCGGCGGAGGAGGAGGCGGGGGGGTGCTGTTGCCGCAGCAGCAGAGGGGGAGGGAGGAGAGGGTGCCGCAGTGGGGTCAGCAGGAGACGAGGGACCTCATCGCGATCAGGGCCAATCTGGAGCGCGACCCCGCGGTGGCGCGGCGGAACAAGACGATGTGGGAGGGGGTGGCGGCCAGGATGAGGGAGCGCGGGTACCGCCGGACGCCGGATCAGTGTAAGTGCAAGTGGAAGAACCTCGTCAATCGCTACAAGGTCTCGCCTCTCTTCCTATTCCTTTCCCCTTGTTGTGGCTCCGGTGATTTCGGTCGATATAGGGTTCGTGATTTGCACGTCTTCTATCGCTAATTCTTCCGGGGCGACTTTGATTGGTTGTCGCAGCTTTAAGTTGATTGTATTGGCGTATGTTCTTTGTTGCCAATTCTTTTTGGGAAGGTTTGAATCGATCATCGAATTTTAAGTCGACTGCATTGATTTGGCCATGTAGAGTTCCTTTAAGAACCCTAAAAACACAACAACTTCGACTGAAGACAGACTCATTCATCGCAGTTATGCGATTAATTTCCTACCGAATGTTATTGCCTTTTTGGGACTACAATATTTCCATTAGATAAACATCTTTATTGTAGCCTAACATGCGGAAGTTAGGTCTTCATTAGGTAAAGAAATTGGCATTCTTTTCTTGCTCTGGTCTCTCTCTCTCTCTCTCTCTCTTTGGACTGCAGCTCGTCGATGAACATCTAGTAAAATTTGTACAAGTCAAAACCTTGTTGATTCAAAGCAATTGATTTCTGAAGAGATGATTATCTTATATGCTTCTAATTCTTTTTGGTTTGTTGTCAGGGTAAAGAGACGGCTGATCCTGAAACTGGCCGGCAATGCCCGTTCTTCGACGAGCTGAATGCGGTGTTCGTGGAACGGGCGAAGAACATGCAACGGCTCCTCCTGGAATCGGAATCCGGCGCCTCGCAATCAAAGAAGAAGCCGAAGAGGGTCGGCAGGGATCGATCCTCGGATGAAATCTCCGACGACGATGATGAGGACGACAATGACAGTGACGACGAGCTCCTTCCAAAGGGCAGAAGGAAGAAGGCCGACCACAGAGGGGGCCATCAACAGCACCGGGGGAAGGCGGCGGCAGCGGCAGCGGCTGCCGGCAGCATTCAGGAGCTGCTGCAAGAGTTCCTGCAGCAGCAGCAACAGATGGAGATGCAGTGGTTCGACATGATGGAGCGGAGGGCGCAGGAGCGGCGGATGTTCGAGCAGGAGTGGCGGCAGTCGATGGAGAAGCTGGAGAGGGAGCGGCTGATGCTGGAGCAGGCTTGGAGGGAGAGAGAGGAGCAGAGGAGGATGAGGGAGGAGAGCCGGGCAGAAAAGAGGGATGCACTGCTGACCACGCTGCTGAATAAGTTCATTGAAGATGATCTCTGATTGGCCCCTTCTTCTTCTTCTTCTTCGTGTCTGTTGCTTGTTCCTTGTTCTTTATTTACTATGGTGGGTTAGGTAGATTTTTGTTCTTCTTGTAATACTTATAAAAGGGGATTATATTTGGTGGCGCTGTTGTTGACTAGAAACAGGCTAATCTTATAGGTGACCCTCCACATCAGTCTTACCTAGAGAGAGATATTAACTTGAGTGAGATACCTCTTTGTGCTCCTCCATCTTTGGATCAACCTTATCATCCCAAGTTGAATTTTCTGTCTGCGACCACAACATGTTGTTAAGGGAAAACATCAAACATTATCTATACCTACCTTTCTTTCTGATCATCCAACTGGGAGCAACGAAACAGCAAGTCATTACCGCTGCCATTGCCCAAGTTTCAGACAGATGTTAATACCAATACTCGGAAGAGCAAGTTCTTCCTAGACCAAATATCGCAACCACCGTACCCCATCGAAGACGAAGAGTGGTCAGAGAGTTGGAATTCGAGTTATAGCATATTCCGGTTTAAGATAGATACATATATTTCTTCCAAGTCTTCGTATGTAGTAAGAAGGTTCGGAACACTCCTATGGCGGGGGGATGGATCACTCGGACTCGCTCGGAGGCTTCTCCTTGGGATGCTTCGAGCCATAATGATCCACCAGCTGGTTATGATTCGCAAGTTGTACCTAAAAGAAACCACTCCCCGATCTGAGGATATAACTTTGTTGCAAGAAAAACAAGTACTGGAAATTGAGGTAGAAATAGAAAGGAAAAAAAAACGAAAATTCAGTGAATTCATTCATGATGCTGAAAAGACTGAGTTTTTCCTGAATATATTGTTCAAGGAGAATCAAAATTGACAGCACAGAAGTCAGCGAGAACTTTGATCAGACAGACAGACAACAAGAAACCATGAAGTGCAATGGCTAGTGTAGAATCTCATATTTGCTCCGCTAATTAAGCAAAACTTTCGTTCTGTTCTTATCCGACCTCCACGGCCAATCCTGCAGATCTCAATCCTTGTTATGAAAAAATAGTTATTCTATTATCACCTGACCAAACTTTCAAAGCTCATATATCATCACAACAACAACAACAACAAAAAAGGCATTCTCTTATCATCGACTCATCAAGAAAGATACCCCTCTTCACAACACTGAGACATTGAAATGGCGACAGGATTGTGTTCTTAGTTCGTCGTAGCATTTTAGCTGCATTGGCATTTCCAATTCCAATGTGATCATTTCTCACTTTGTTCAAACCTATTCATATTTTCTCATCTTTCTCTTGCATGTCACCGTATGGATTTTAAACCGGATTTCTTTTCTTTTAATTAGAAAAAAAAGGGGTCTTTTTCTTCCTTTGTTTTGTTTCCTCATCATGAATTCCTATCGTTAGCCTCTCGATTTGTGAACAAAGAAATGTAAGTTAGCAAAATTTCACGGTTCCATGAAATGCTTGTATCCCCATCAAAAACAATATCTGGCATGAGATCATAAGAACAAAATCGAACCCCATCGGATAGGACAGAACCTAAGATCCATTGGTACTGCTGGCATACAATTTTAATCTCCGAATGCATGATGAACGACTTGCACAAATGGATCCTGAAAAAAGCACTAATTACTTTGTAAATTAACTTGAATTTAAGATCTTGATGCTCCTAGACTCAAGGAAATTGATGCAAGGAATTTGTCCTAAAAGAATCATCTTAATCGATCTAACCTTGTGGATTGAAATATGGAACATGGTTTTACATATGTTCCATCTCGTACACCTCCGACACCATCCTACAGTGGTTCGAATACGAGAAAGCCTTCAACCTAACCACATCATAGAATAACTCTAATAAGGAACAATTTGGTCGGTAGGCCATTGATCCAAAAGACGCCTCTAAGGGTAAGGGAGACCTGGCGCACGACTCGGGAGTGAGGTGCAAGCCTTGGGCCCTCCTTCTAGGATGCTAATCTAATAAGGGATAATTTGACCGATCGGCCATTGGTCCAAAAGATGTCTCTAAGAGTAAGGGAGACCTGGCGCACGGCTCGGGAGCGAGGTGCAAGTCTTGGGCCCTCCTTTCAGGACGCTGATCTAATAATAAGGGACAATTTGATCGATCGGCCATTGGTGCGGCCCGTAGGCTCGTGAGGATTTTTTCTTTTTTTGGTGCATGTGAGCTTTCCAAAAGACACATATGAGGGTAAGGGAGACCGGCGGACTTACGAGCTTCTTCCCATGTCTCTTCTCTTATTGCATTGTATAACGTGTTTCTCCTTGGATTGCTAGAAGAATGAAGTAAGCGCATAAGATCTATTCCTTAGAAGTGAATACTTTTCTTCTCAATCAAGGAAAATGCATGCTGCTTCCCCCATAAACCAGTTCGCCATACATCCAAACTACGATCCGATACTCGCAATCATTGAATCGTCTTTTGCGGAAGAAAGATGCTTTGTTAAATCGGAAAGCTAACCGCAATCCGAATCATGACCATAAAAATCATCGAACGAAAACAGGGTTTCCATACCCAGAACCAAAGGCAGATACGATCTTGACGCGCTATTTGCAATCAAAATCAGACTTTCGATCAAGAAGGCAAACGTGAAGGGAGACAAGAAAAGATTTATCGAGCAGGCGAGAGAAGGGATCGGAAATCGGCACCTTGCAGATGGGGCAGATGACCTTGAGGCCGACGGCCCTCGCCTCGAGCTGCGAACCCTTGGGCTTCTGGTTCCTCTCGGCGTTCCTCCGCTGCGCCTCGATCTTTTGCTTGCCCCTCGTCATCCTGCTCTCGTCTCCTCCTCCCTGCTTCGATCTCAGACCACCTTCCCAACGAATGCTCTTGATCACGAGCATATCAGCGTTCCATCGCTTGTATCGATCGGAAGGGGAGCGGGTACGGGCACGGGGGACATCGCACCGCACCCCTTAACCATCACCGTCAGATCAGTGCCGTGTCAGAATATCCATGCGGAAACAAGTACAAAAAACAGGAAAGAATGTTTATATTGGCGACCGTAAGCTTACCATTTACGGCATTAATCCTTTACTATTGACCGTCCATTAAAAAATAATAAAATATTATTCTATCATTTACAATCCAATGTTACTAATTTTTTTTATTTTTTTCTTTTCATTTCATTATTGTCCATTAATACCATCACAATCACCATCAACTTATTTGTTCGTTATGTTCATTATCGATGTTGATATCATCGTTGTCACCATCACCATCGACTTTGCTTGTTATTTGTTCGTTATATTCATTATCGATGTTGACATCAACATTATCAACATTACTTGCCGGAGACATTGCTCAATATATAGTTGGAGGCGACACCCTTCGCTACACCTCTTGCCATCAACATCGCTCACTATTGATGTCACTTATCGCTCCATCAATGTCATCCTCTAAGGAGGAAGAAGAAGATAAAAAAAAAGAATAAAAAAGAAAAAAGATTATATTTACATATGGTTGGATAATTTAGAAATATTAATATTTTTTTTTCTAATTATATTAAATGGTTGGATAATTTATGAAGCATTAAAATTTAAGGTTTGCTAATTAAAATTTTAAAATGATGTTACAAATGATAATATTTTTTTTCTATTTATAATTTTATTTTAAAAAATTAATATTCCTAAAATATATCAATACAAATGGATTAAATATCATCATCATCTTATTCCTCGTCCTCCTTTTAATACTAATTTATAACTTTTTAATGCTTCGTCACCACGGAACCACTCCATATTATGGTGTAGTACCATCAAATTCAAGAGCAGACTTCAATCAAGATGTTAAAACCCGAAGCTAACGAGGCTTGCTGAATTCAATGGAAACAACAGTTGGTGCTGGGAGTATTCAATTATATCTAAAAGTCGTATTAGATTTCAAAGTTTTTCCAAGCTTTCAAATAAGATATACAGTAAAACCAGTTTCACAAGAATGTATGAACCCAAGTTTCATATCAACTATCAAAGAATGCATCGGTACTGATAAACCATCTAATGCGGTTACTAGGTTTACTGCACAAGGAACTGACCAATTGGTTAGAAGAGCTACATTGTAAGAAATGAAGTTCAATTTCCTGCAATACATATATCCTACTTCTTGTCTCGGTAAAACTACAAGTTGTATAGGTGGGGTTGCAGGCATTTATTAAACAGGTCCAAAGCCAACAATGTTCAAATACAATTTAAGGTGGAGATATTGGACATATGTTGGCTTCCAAGTTCCAAACATACGGCACCTTTTTCTGTTATTCAAGGTAAGAATAACATAAAGAATGTGGTGGGAGATTCATCTCTAGCATTTCCTTGACAACCCCATCAGAGCAAACAAGATAACAACAGCCAGAGATTAAAAAAAAAAAAAAAGGTACGGGAAAGAAAAATTATACTTTCAAACACAAACTGGGTGTCCAGTACCATCCGATATCGGTTGCAAGAGACAGACAGACAGACAGCGCCATCTCTTCCGCCGGAAACACTCCGTCCCGTTCAGGAATAGTGTAATATTGCTGCAAATGATAGTCCACCTATCTCCCCTACACAACACAACACATCAGCTTGTTAGTTTCATCTGAAAAGAGAGCTTATCAGAGGTCAGAAAGAAAGTCAGAGACAGACAAGGGACTGCAATCAACATAAATTATGCTTCATTGTTGGCTTATCTTGGAGTTCCAAAATAAGATTAAACTTAAGTACAAATTTCAACCGAAAAAGAAAACTTTGTTAGACCGAAAAAATAAAATTAAAAAAAGGGCTCCAACCAGTGTAGAACTACACCTATGGCCTTTATGGTTTGCATGATCCCTCAAATATTCCAGCTTTTCTTTTCCAGGTTTGTATAAACAATTATATCACAAAAAATTCAGAGAACTAGAAAAGGGGTTTCCCAGTAACAAGAGATTTTAAAATCACTTGACATATGTCGACAGGAAAAAGTATGGAATCTGCTATAGCATCTTATCTGAGCGTGGCCCATGAAAATATAGGTTATATCTCCATGGCTATAACAACTTATTTGAGATATAGGTTATATGTCCATGGCTAACTAGAGGTGGGTATCTACAGATACCCAATAAAAGATCCAGGTCTATGGCCCATGAAAACCTTGGTGCAAGCTTATCATTGACATATATTAGAGCAACTACAAGAGAGCCCAAGCACTTGCAGGTGTAACATCTGCACTAGCACTTCATTTCATGGAGATGTACATATACTCGTTAGGAAAATGAAGTATCATATATAAACCATGTTATGTGATTTTTTCAGTTTAAAACATGTTATAATGCTACAGAGCTTCTGTTCACAACTCAGGAGGCATTCCAAGCACGAAAAATAACTTTTATGAGTGTCTTTAACAGATGAAGGTATCACTAAAGAAACAAAAACACAAAATCCAGATTGGAAGTTAAGCATCAGCCAGATCTAGGACAGACATCAAGATAAGTACATTATAGATATGTTTGCTACTCCCTAGAAAAAAGACAACTACTTAAAATGAGATATATAGTAAATATATAAGATTACAATTTCAAATTAGAAAGATAAAATACTTGTTATAACATTACAGAGCTTCTGTTCAACTTCACAGCAACTATTGATCTTAATTTTGGCAGGAGATTGTTAATACGATATACTATGGATGATATGACTACCTGCGCCTTCTGATGATTCCACAGATTATGAGTATGCATTGTATGCGGGTGATTAAATTGCTGAAAATACTGTTGTCCAAAATGCCTGGGTGAGTTTTGTGCATTTTGAGATACAGAATGTGGAAGAGACACCGGATGTGCATATCCACCGTGCAAGCCCTGAATAACAGGGGGATTCCTGCAAGATAACAGTTTAATGATAAAACTATCAAAGATAAGAACAATATTATAAAAAGCAGAATATAAGTAAAGCAAACAACAAATATAATTAAAAAAAACAGATAGGCTTCGTTTATACTATATGTGGTTTCGTTCTAGTATTTGATGCTGTTCTGTTAACATTGCCAATTTACACCATGATAATATTGCCAGTAATTTTGCACATATTATTCATTTGTTCCTACCTAATTTTAGTGACTATCAGTAACACTATATTTTTCTAGTGACTGTCTCAATAATTAAATAGCTTCTATAGTATATATATATTATAGATCTAAGATATATTAATTTTAAAAGATAATTCATCTTACATCACTATGTTGGTTTTTTAGAAATACTCATCTTGTGTTTTAGTTTTCATTTGATCCACCTCTTCTAAAATCTTGTACTGCAACATATTAGCTTAATTCATCTTGATCAACATCGAACACCTCCTTTATTTTTGGGATTGACATCCCAAAATTTCCTCAGTCTTAAAACATTCTTTTAATTTCCAAATTTTGTAAAATAAAATATTAAACAGACTGCACCTTGATTTCTTAAGCTCCTCCAAAATGAGAGTGCCATCCTACATTCTTTCTTTTTTACATCCTCTTAATCATTTTCTTTCTCTCTTTCCTGATCATTTTATAGTTTCAAATCATTTCACCATTTTCTAACTACAAAAAGAACTATAAACTGTGCATTAAATGATTTATAAATTAAAGGCAATTTCTTAAAAATAGCACCATCACAAGTCTTGTCTTGCTTGCCCTAGCTCTAGCATGCATATAAATTTCCATGTTATGAACATGGATTCTTGGTCATAAGTCATCTCAAAAGAAGACCCGATAATACAAATCATATACTTCGACTCAACCGAAATATCCATGTCAGGTAGTTCTAACCAAGGATTCAACATGCTGACATGGGACTCCATGACTTGGCTGAAGTCCAAGGAGCACTTGTTGGTCAGTGCTAGCTTAACTGAAACTGAAAGAAAACCCTTTAACAAAGAAAAGCTTTTGTCAGTAGGCTTCATCATTGTAGTTGAATAATGATTTCATCATTACAGCACAGGATGTGGTGGTAACTGATCCACATGTTACACTGCATAGGCATTATGCCACATCAGTGCCTGTTTAACAGCTTGATTAAAATGTCAACATGGATTGGATATGATGTCAATATAGTTTGCATATGACACCAAACACTATCACGGTAACCAAAATATATGATGTCAACATGGGCATGTATTGTCCATAATTAAAATATAAAGTTGACATGTAAGAGCTACTTTACACACCAATCTCATTCCCCCACAGTTATAGTATGAATCAAATCCATATTATTCTTATAACTTGGGTGACTAGGGTTTGGTTCATGAAAACAGCCTTTCTATTTGCAGGTAGGGGCTGCACTGTGAGAAAGCCTTCGGCACTGGGATGCCCCCTACTATACAGCTCAAGAAATGTGTTCCAGCAATTAACTTGCAACCAGAAAAGACTTTGCGAATGCAATAAACAATGACTTTACAGCACTGAATTTCTAGAACATCTAGGTTCTAAATGATTTTAGCAGGCTATTATTATGGTCATTTGTAGAATCTGTAGAATTCTTAAAGAGAAGGAGACCACACCTTGAATCTGCATACATATAATTTGAGCCCACAAGTGCCTGTTGATGGTTCAAGGGGAAAGTACCAATTCCACTTGTTTGATTACTCAAATCGATTGAGCAACCAAGGCGGATAACACTGTCAAACCCTAAAGCCAGAGAATTGATCTCAGAGCAATCTCCTTGAACCAAGGATTCATCACTGGAACATATAAAGTAATAGTTAAATCCAATATCTTTATCAAATTATAGCATCATAGACAATTTTTACCAGACAATATATGCCAAATTCTAAAAACATGCTAAGAGTATGACTTGTAACAGAGTCTTCCCAAAGTTCTCTTGTAATATTATTATGATAGTTACTGCTTATCTGGAATGCAGGAGTAGAAGGGATCAACAAAAATGAAAATATTGAGGAGGGGTGGGGGGGGGAAGCCTAGGGTGATGTGTAGCCCCCCTGGCTTGCAGAAGGGCTAACATAAGATCCCCTCATCTTTGTTCACAGAGAAAGACAATTACTGAGTTATGAGGTATCAGGCCTTGAGGCTTGAGCTGAGAGTCGTCGGTGAATCACCTAGCCACTTTTTGTTTGTAAATGCAGTACCAATGCAATTTCTTTCCTTAGTCAAACTTTGAGCTCTCCAAACAATGCTATAACAATGAAAAAAGCTTTGCTTCCAATTCTCATATCTATCGCGTGCCTTCTTGTAATCTTGTTTCACTAATCAATTAAAATAGTTATCTAGTTTTGCAATCTCAAGTGAACTTTGTCCCTGGACCTAAGATATTCACATCAGACATCTTTCTATTCTGAATTGGTATCAGTCTGTTGTGTCAGTTTTATAACAAATCACAATAATATATTTTCTCATTGTTATTATTTTTATTTCATCAAATTTACCATTAATTTTATGTTATTTCTGTTATCATATACTGTGTCAAGGATAACTGTTTATCTGTATTCAATTGATACACACTTTTCTATCAAGAAAATTGCAAGAATTTCTTTTCTTGACTATTTCATTGACTATGCTGTTTTATATCCTCACTCATTTTGTTTTAGAATAAGAGCAGAGATATACAATCTCACGTAGAAAATAATTCAAATATATCAAAAAAGCAAGCATATTTACAAAGACGAGCTGCAGGATAGTCAAAAGCAACATGTGGATAAATACGAAGTATCTCATATAAGTAGTTGACTAGAAAATAGTCAAGATACATCAATATAGAGCAAATTTTAGTAAGATGAGCTGCAGTATAGTGTAAAATACTGAGTGAATAAGCAAGAAGGTACATCTTGTACCTATAATTGGGATCCCAATCTCCAGGACCAAATGGTAAGTAACTTGATTCAGGCTTGTCCCATGACACTTCTGAAATAACCAAGATAAAGCATTTAAGTCACATATACATACAGCTAAGAGGGTCCTATCAGAAGAGTTAAAACATTGGCAAACTTCCGAACCCACCTTGTGTCCTGTTGTTAGAATGATGAAAGGCTGAAAAAGTACTAGAACTTACAAATCTTTGATGATTTGAGTCTTCATAACTAGAGCTCGTCTCATCATCACAAAGGCCATGATAGTACTTGAATGAATTTTCATGAGGTTGAATACCCAACGATCCATTATAGGCATGTTTGCCTTCTCTAACAAATTTAGAAGCTTTGCCCCATGGAAAATCATGAAAGCTGCCTTCTGCTGGGGAATGGCAAGCATACTCTCCTTGAAACATTTTTGATTCTTGGACTTTCAAGCTTGGATAAGTAAATTGAGAGGGGCTGGCTCCTAGGGACGTTGGCCAGAAATTGTAACTAGGAGTTACACCAAAACCATTCCCATGACAGAATGGAACATGTCTAGCATCCGCACTAACACCAAGGACAGATCCCCCTGTTTTAGCACTTTGGAAAAGGGAAGAATGGACTGGTGAGTAATCCAACATGCTATTTTTTAATGAATAACTTCTGCAACCACTTCCAAGACTAGCACTATAATTATAGCTTCCATGGCTTTCTGAGCTGCCATAACTACTTTCATAGGATGAAGGCGCCAGTAAAACCTTAGAGCTATTCTGTGGAAGATATTTGTTCATACTTGCAACCTAAGAAGTGAAAACAGAAGTCATTATAGCAATTTCACAACAAAATGTACAAGATGCCTTCATTCATTTAAGAAAACACTAGCAGAAGTATTGGTACCATAATAAGAAACAGTATCAGAAAAGGAATCTGTTGATTACACTTTTTTTATTAATAGCTTAAGAGACTATAAAACCTTACAGACAGACCTCTGGAGAGAGACCAGCTGCTAGCTGGTGTCCTTGCCTCGGATCATGTTCCACTTGAAGAGCATGAGAAACTGGCTGAAAAAGTATGAAAACAAAATGTCACCCTATTTCATATATATATGACGAGGGCTGGCCATGCACCTGAATGTAAATAAAATGTCACCCTATTTCATATATCCATTATGTGGGCTGGAGATGACCCTGGCCAGCATAAACTTGATTTTTGAGTTGTCAAAAAAGCCACACTACCTAAGTTTACCAACAAATACTTACAGATTGCTGGGAGAAAAACCTATATGCACTAGATTTACATAATACAAAGAGCAAACATGTTTAGGAAGCTTTGGACTTCATCTCAGAAAACATCATATAACTAAAGCTTGCAACTAAATGGAGAAGATCAACATAACAATTAATGCTATTCATTATGCATTTCTGATGGAATGGATGACACACATAACTTGACATAGACATTAACCATGTAATGATTATTAATATCTTGGTACACTAAATCTACTCACAGTGAGTGGAGTCTCTGGAAGAGGTTTGTAAAGGAACAAAAAGGGTTCTCTAGTAACAAATGGATGGTGTGAAGCCTGAGACAGCAGCCAGATAAAGATCAAAGATTATATTTGTGGTCAGACAAGTAAATCAAACACTAAGGAAGTAAAGAAAATTCTACAGACCAGATGATTTCACTAACCTGCAAAGGTGACCATCGTTTGGCAGGATCAAACTCAAGAAGGCCCCTTAAGAAATCAATCAATGCCAAGCACATTGCACTTTCTGTGACAAGATTTCAATCAGAAGTATATAATAGAATTATATAATAGAAGACAGACAATATGTACCTGTTAAATACTTAAGTGTCCGATGTTATGGTCATTATTCTTCAGGAAAACAAATAAGAATATGACGCTAACCTTTGTCAAATTGTTCATCTGGCAAGTTTTTCCTGTAAGCTTTTTCTGCAACGATATCTTCAAGTTTCACAAAACTGAAATATTTTTTTCCTATCTTTGGCCTTTTTAATCCCCTCTGGAAACAATAACAACTGTAAGGCACTAAAGATAAAAGTCTCATTTTAGTTCAACATTGAATTGATAATAAGTACCAAAGGACTCACAATTTCAAATTCCTCTTCATTTAGAATTTGGTAAGCGCTGCTGTTTATCTTGACAGACTGGTCATCCACCAACTGGTTTATGCTACCAACATGTTTAAAGAAATTATTTGTCTTGGTTGCATTCCTAAGGAGATTATCAGGAGGCTGATCACTGTACAAAGTCACTCAATAAGATGGAAGCTTATGAAAATTATAATATAGCACAACATGGTAAAGCCAAAAAAGAATATTTTGCATTAGGAGAAGTGTTCCATTTTTTTCAAAAATTTATTCAACCTCATATGCAACTTGAAGATAAATTTGAAAATCATGACTGGTTTATTGTAAAAATAATCAAAATAGATTGAAAAAAATTGTTAATTTTATAGGATCATAGTGATAAACAGTAACTGGCTTTGTGCCTTATGGGAAAGTTGGAAAGAAAAATGTAATTGGTGCAAAGTAGAGTTAATTTGTATCAACAACAAAACAACAAGCCATAATGTCTCAACTATTTGCGGTCAGCTACATTGACCTTTTCTCGCCATTAAGCTGTGTAGGGAACCCATTTCCATGCTTGTAAAAATTTCAATGCAATGAAAAAAAGCAAACATAAGGAAGCATGTATGCAATGCATCTTTAATGTTCTTGGTAAAAAAAGAACATGTGTGATAGAAGTAGCAAAATTTTTTAACCAAGTGAGATATACCCAAGTATTTCAGTCATCCTCTTTAGAACATCAAATTGTGACTCCCCAGGAAACAAAGGGAAACCCAAGTACAACTCAGCAACAATGCACCCAAGTGACCACATATCAATGGCAATTGTATATCTACTACATGTTAAGCTGCAATCTCAAGCTTGTTGTATAATTCTAGTAAAGTATACTGAAAATTTGGTATAAATGGAAACTCTTGGTCAACAAAGCTCGTTTGAGATCCACAGAATGAGAAACTGTGTGGAAACCAGACCTATTCTGTTGATCAGATATGAGCATATAGCAGCAGAGAGTCCTAAAATACATGAATTGAAATGATTACTTCTCCAGTTGGAAGTTCTAAATACATCATGTTCAAATATCATCAAGGATACGGGTAGCCAAGGAGAACTTCTGGAGACCTGTAATAACGACTCTGCACAGTAGAAAATAATGAACTAATAAGAATTCTAAGAGAGAAGCTGATGAATAAAACATCTTGCATATAAAATAAATCAAATAATTAATACATTGCAAGACCAAATCAGTATTCAAACCTGAATGTATGTGTATATTGTCTTACTCATGAAGCAAGCCGACCCAAAATCAATTACTTTAATTTTTGGTGGTTTCTCACTGTGTAGTTCAAGATGCCACATTCAAAGTTCAAGAGTAATAAAAAAATCCTACAACTAGGTTCAAATTGTAACCGACAAAAAGTTCACCTTGTACATATAAGGATATTCTCTGGCTTCAAATCACAATGGATAATACCAGCATATCTTGTGATGATTAATGCATCCAAGATCTGAAGAAAATAGAGAAAAAGATTCAAGGACCACATCAATTTGAATCAGGTGAAGGAGAATGTAGAAAAGTACAAGTAACACCTGCTTACACAAGTCTTGTATGACATCCAATGTAAATCCATTATGCTTTTTTTCTTTTATTAGCTCATACCTAGAATGTCAACAAACATCATCAGCTGATTAATCTAATATGATATACAATAATATATATAAAGAATTTTCAAAAGTCAAGAGAAAGCTACAAATTTTAGCTTACAGATTTGACCCAAGCATTTCAAATGAAATGCAAAGATGATTTTGAAATAAAAAATAGTCAAGCATGCGCACAATGTGATGCTCATCATCAGGATCAAGCTTTTGATTGAGCTGCAAAATAAATACATTAAGTTTACGGGTAAGCAATGCTTCAATACAGTACCTATAAATACATACATATCTGAGGCATACAATTGTCCACTATTATAAATATATACAGACATCTATATATTTGTGAGCAAGAATGAACATATTCTATATATATAAATACATTTACTATGTAAATAGGAATGTGTGAATATACACAGTAATGTTGCATAAATAAGAAGTTCCACTACAAAGTTTGCTTACCATTGACAGAATATGGACTTCAAATACTCCATGTCGATAATACTGAGGCTGATTTTTGATAATCTTAATGGCAACATAATTGTTGGTCTCCATGTCCCAACATTTAGCAACCTGAGCAAATGTACCTTGGCCAAGTATGTCTTTAACAATGTACCTAAGATTTCCAAAACAACAAAAGTTATCTGCAATTTATTTTGAGGCAAAATATTTAGATCTGCAGATATTGGTTGAAGTTTGGCAGATTTACTTTTCTCAGATACCTTTAGTCATATAGTTTTGGCAAATTAGTCCATTTCCTAAAAGACTCCATATGGTGGTTATAGCATATAACTTATAAGAGTATACATGGAAGGATGGCTGACAAATACAACAACAAGGCATTTGAATCCCCATGCACATATGTCAGAACTACAATCCCAGTCTTCATGCATCTTATACCCACTAGTTACCAATGCTTTAGAAAAAGGAAGAGTTTTAGGTGCCAACTAGCTAGGCTGACTACAGGATTCTTTCCCTATTCATTTGATCACCAGACACATGCTTTGTTCACATGAAAGCCCATAATGTCCTTTATGGCTGCTTGTTCCATATCTTTCTGTTGTCTCTGTTTCTCATAGTGGCAACTCAGCTCAGGTCCAGACTAATTGAAGTTGATTAAGGCCCTTTCCACTATTGAGTTTATATGAAAGCCAAAATTTTCTGTTTGGTTGATTCTCTTCAATTCCACTCTATTGTTCCTCTCTTCATTATAGTAATCTTAGCCTAATTGAAAATCTAAAACAGCATCTTACTTTTGATGCATTAAATGGCTTTCAACTGGTTATCTTTACATGATTTTCGTAGTAATATACATTTCAATTATCCAATTGATCCAAAGTAATGAAACATCTTGGATCTTTGTATCATATGAAACATCTACTTCAAGTACACCTTCATTTCTTCATTTGAAATCAGTAAAGTTGCATTCTATATATTCAGTCATAATCTAATCCTATTTGTTCAGTCACCATTTCATTTTAAGTTGATCTTCATCCGTTTCTAGCTTGCAGTTTATTACTGCAGGAGTTTGAAGAATTAAAAGGCTGTCACCAGAAAATATTGCAATCTGTTGGTGTCAATCTTAGTGATGCCAAATAATTCATTCAAAATTATGCAAAACAGGGATTTAATAAAACCTGGAAGCAATCCATATACTTGTAATTTCCTTGTCCTTGATGAACCATTTTTCCTCACAACACTTAAAAGGACAATAATAATCAAAGTAGATTTTGGTTCATATGGCTACAAAATGAATAGACATCCCCAGGAGCTCATTTAGAAAAATAAAATCACAATATTTGTATCCCAAAATGACTATTAAAACGTTTTCTGTTATAGTCAGTCTCTACCAGCATTTTTCATTTGTTTAAAGGAGGAAATTCTTATGCAAAGTTGCTATAACTATTTCCTGGTTATAAGAATGAAACAACAAACAAGTACCTTAACTGAAAATTAAGAGAACTTTGGAACTAGTGACTCTCACAGTAGGATCTTCTATTTATTAAAAGGGAAACTTCTCACACAAACTGATGTGACACAAAAAAGAAGAGAGAAGGAGAGGGTGAGAAAAGAAGTGAGATATGGGAGAACAAAGAGAACTCTCTCTATTTCAAGAGATACTAAGGGCTAACAACTCGAAATACAAAAGTTCGATAAGGTTTCAAAAACTAGAATACCCCACCAATCTTCCTTCTTTCCCTTTTATAGATCTCTTGTACATTGAATCCCTCAATTACTTAATTAATGAGTCACAGTTTACTAAAAGTCAAACACAAATTACAATACATATTAAATTCATGGTGCATTGTACTTTGGTGATTTTGAATTTTCATAATTATCTCAAGATACAAATCATTTTTTTGAAATTTGATAGGATTGAGCTTGGGATTTATTGTCTTGGAACTTAGAGCATTCACTGCTCACCATGCACTGCATCACAAACTTGTTAAACATGTCTCCTATTTGCAAGAAATTAAACAAAAATAAGGAAACCTTAATTGAAAATTTAGAAATTTGGGGCTTAGAAAATCTTGTGTCTATAGTTTATGATTGCTTGAGTAGAAACTTCCCATGCAATACCTTCCTACTTGCAACTATTTCTTATTATCTGAATAGCTAGCTAGTTTATTCCAAAAACTTCTACTTGCAAGATTTTGTCCTGGAAAGTCCTTATATTTATATAATATTATTCTTAACACTACTTAACATTTCCGAGATTCTTTGTAGGACGGTAGGAAGTATATTTTCCACAGTGCATATTAATTTATCTCACTGTTGCTAATTTGACTAACTCGGCGAAATGGCAGTTTCATGCCCCCAGATTAAAGCCTTCCACTTCTGACAACATATAACACAAGCAAGGACAAAATATTCTTTGTCATGCTCTATCAAATAGTTTTGCTATAACACACAACATGCCATACAATGAAGATGAAGTACAACATAAATGCTATTAATGAGTTGAAGAACTAACCTCTGTTTCGAGCCTGAACACAATACAAGATTTACATACAAAATAAGATCTGAATATGCATTGTCATAGCCATCATTTTTTACTCCAGTAGAAGGATTTGTAAGGAAGCGCTTCCAGTTCGATGCATTAGAGTACTTGAAACCAGGGTTGCATTTGCAGTATGTTTCAACTATGCCTTTGGTTAGCTTTTCAACTAGCTGCAAATATATAAAACATCACCAAAACATCATGATTTCTTTGCCACAGTTACTACCACAGATGAAACTGTTTCGGAATTACTTATATAAAATGTTCACCTAGAATGGCTGAACACTAATGGCATCAATTTAAAATGTCTTGAACAAAATTGATTAACACAATTTCATGCAAAAATAATTTTCAGATGTATGAAATTTGATAGCTAGGTCAATCGATACACACTTAAGGCTACACACGTGGATGAGACAATAAAAAACTGTTGAGCTTATCTGCAGTAATTTGTTGTTGCATTTTCACTTGAAAAGATGAACAAAATAAAAATATTATTGACCAGAGAATGTGTGTGAACTGGCAAATGTTCAATGGCCAATTAAAAAAAAAAAGTGGTTGTGGACTTGGTGCAAGGGCAACTACAGAGCACTTCGACCAGAATAACCACAAATGTGTTGTGCAGGTGATTAGCTATAAGAACTAGGTTTCAGTTTCACTATCCAAAGACTTAATCACTAATGATGAAGATCATGCATTATCAAGTTTCATCAAAAATCTTATAAATATAATACTGAAGAGTTTTGTTGGACCAATGATTATACACAGTTGTAGGGTTGTTTCAGTCTGTTCAAAACTTGTTTACAGCTTGTGCAAATGCAGAGGGAGAACAGAATGGAAAGAAGAAAGGAATATAAACACAAAAAGAAGAATAGAAGGAGAGAGAGAGAGAGAGAGAGAGACAAAAGGATAAAAGCCTCCTTGTCTGAGAAAGTTTAATCTTTTTGTGTTAAGCAGAAAGCTCAATTCTCCTACCCAGCCAACAGCAATGAGTAGATGATGTTGATCCTTCAGTGCATGGGAAATTTCTTGTGGACAAGCAATAATTTATCTTCCCATCTAATGGTTCCGTTGGTGATGTAGTGATGATGACATGGGACAGATGGTCCTTTCAACATGAGGATGTTCATGTTTAGAAATTTGCACTTATTACCTTGACCATATCCCTCTCAAGACTTCTAAAGGCTACTTTTTTCTTGGGCACAAGCAACAGCTTATTACTAAATAGTGACATAAAGCAATTAGAATGAAAGCTTTTTGTCCAACCAGATGATCAAAGGCACAGTTGCCACAACTGTTGGCCTCCAAGAATGACAATTAACAACAGAATGGTTGTCATTGACTTTATTTCATGCATTCTATTGGCCTCACTTGAGCTAAACTCTGAGCAGATACAGAAAATATTTTCTCCGCATATGACTTATAATGACCAACCAGAACTTCAGATCCAGGAATGGTTCGGTGCTGACATGCCTGAAGAACTTGAGGCAAGAACGTCGCCATTAATCAGAAGATAATATCATGCCCATCCTGGTGACTACAAGATTAATTTTGCTTTATGCGCTAAAACTTGAGGCATCCATGATTATGAATAATAAAAAGTACATGAGAATATATAATCAAATAAAAGAATTCCCGATCAAGATAAACCAAAGCTAAATACAGAAAGGATAAGATCAAGGTAAAGTCTTAAAAGACATACAGATCGTTTCGCAGTCGCGCAAGATTCGCCGAAAACCAGACAGGGTCCGGAGGAAGATTGCGACGATTCATAAGGACGGAACGCTTGCGGCTTGTTCTTTCCAATCCCTCCCCCATCCATAACTCCACCAGCGATGTGTATCGCGTCGCTAACGTCCGATCGGTCGAAGCAGAGAGCGAAAGGAGCCGATCGCCCGATTCTCCAGCCGAGGAGACCCGCCGGACGACTCCAGTCCCATTCTACAAAACCTCCCGCGACATCCGGCGACGCAATTGGATCCAATCCGCCGTCGAGCGGGTAGCCGGAGGTCGACCGAAGATGGTAGGAATCGAGAAGAGGTAGGGTTTACGGAGGGGTCTTCGCCTTCCTCTATTCTTTCTTTTCCCTTCCTCTTCTCCGCCTCGGTCTCGACGGGTCCTCCCGCTCCTCTATATATATATCGTCTGCTGCTGTGCGTCCGCATGTGATATCCTATGCGTACAACAAACCCATCGTACGTGTGGAATCTGGAGACCAATCTCGTCCGTTCACTGGCGTAGATTCGAGATTTGCTTCGGTCAGTTCAGGATCGAGACACCTAAAAAAGAGACGTTAGAAAAAGGACCAATGGCTTTTGTTTGCGTGAGACGAGCTGCTTCATCGCGGGGGGGCCCGACGGAGGGTTTCCGTGGTCGGCGAGGTTCTCGAGTTCCCGGAGAGTTTGCGCCCTCGTCTCAATTCCCTTGAGGGGCTCGATTCGCGCGTCGCTTCGCGAGAATGAAATCACTCGATAACACCGCTTTCCTAAGAAGCCCGTCAACACGTCCCCGTTCTGGAACCGGCACGGTGACCAAATCAAATATTAATGGTTCGCATACGTGGGCCCTCACACCGTAGGTGGAGTTTGGGAGTCCTGTGGGCGGCGAACGTGGGACGATTCCGCCCTGACAACTGCGGCGATTTCTCTCAGTGACTGGGACCCAAAAATATCGGCCCCGTCATCAGAGACCACGTCACCCGTGCAAGGTCAGTGAGTGATCTGATCCATCGAGACAGGTTGTTCCCAATGATGACGGTTGCCCTGTTCCGGTCATGGTAGGCTTCTCCTTGTTTGGTATGCTATTGTCATCGCATGGCTTGTGGAAATGGGGACACGTGGACTATGACTTGAATACCCCAAGTTATCGTTAGCATCACACCAACTTGGTCTACAGGAATAGTTGCTAAACAGGACAACAGGACAAGACGGTCCATCGATGGCCTGATCTCATCTGACAACTTTGAACTCAAGATTTACATGAGACAAAGCAGACTTGGCACAAAATAAGAGGATGAAAAGAAAATTAATCACCTTCCAGCTCATGCAGACTTGTAGTCATCGCTACATTAAAGTTTTGAATTGGGCTCGAAACATTATCGGAAGCACTATAATGAAATATTCTTCCAGAAATGAAGCGTTGAAATTGATTCTGTAATCATCTGACGATTGAAAGTAGCTTCTATAATTCAGCAATTACTCAAAATTTAAGAAAGACTGAATTAAAAAGATTGGTCCACAAAGGGATCAATCTTATCTTGATTCTAGAACCTGTCCTCGCAAGAATTAAGAACTAAAAATATCTTCGATCTCTTAATAATTATTGACCTTCTGCCCTTTTTTTCTATGTTCTCCTACCTTCCGAACGATACGAAGCACAAACGTGTTCTTCAGCACAATATACAGATTGGTAGAAGAAACAAGCATTCTTGGCCAGAATATACAGGCGACAGATACATGGTGGCATGTCGAGATAAGTAATCGAAAGAAGCACTTATGCGCAAAGGGCAAAGTAAAGAGCCGATACAAATCCCCATTAATATATGACCTAAAGTTCTGTGACTGTGGCCAACCAACAAATGATTGCAAAGTATAGACATTGATGACATTTCTAACCAGGACCTAACGAGATCCAGCTAAAATTAAGCTGGATGAGGAATAAGTTTATTTACCAATCCAAAGTACACCTCGACTCCAACGATCCAGATCACAAGTTTATTGGTTGAGGCAAGATATGTGTGTCAGATACGACCGATATGTGCTACTTCTCTGTACACAAATAATTTGCCCTATTTCTCTGTATTTCTGTTTCAATTAATTTTCACCCAATCTCCCTCCACCTCTTCTCGGCACTGTTTCAGATTGAAGGCTTAGAACTTATCCAAATCAGGATACAAGTGAGTTCAGCTCGGCTTCAAATCTGATGTATCTAATTCCTATTTGAGAGTTCCTGATATTAATATCGATATACACAAATAGAGAACATGTAAAAAATGTCAAGAAAAGAAGAACAATATCCAAATATGCAGAGACAGTAAAGAAGTTTAACAATTGGGAAAAAAAAAAAAACTCATGGGTACTAGGAAAAGATTTGTATTTTGTAACAGGTGTTTTAAGCTTACTAATAAAATGTTTGATCACATTTTGAGCTTTTCCCAACTATGAAGGTCAACTCTAAGAGTCCTCGGTGATGAAACCTGTATCTGGTGCTGAAGCAAGCTTACCAAATCATTTCTCATGTCTTGGATCGATCCTATGGATCTTCTCTTCCTCATCTTGGATCACTTGAAATAATTATATTAATTGGAGTAGAGAAAAACTCTGCTTACCAAATCATTTCTCATGTCTTGGATCGATCCTATGGATCTTCTCTTCCTCATCTTGGATCACTTGAAATAATTATATTAATTGGAGTAGAGAAAAACTCTGTAGTATCCTCAATTTAAAGGTAATTGAGCTGTGGATTCTTCACAATCTTTCACAATAATAATCTTTCGGCCTACAGTAGCTGCGAATATCTAAGACACCAAAACTTCATTTATACACTTCCAAATTCTGCCAAAGACAATAAGTAACAAAATACAGAAGCCACAAGAGCAACCAACGAACATTAATAAAGCAGCTACATGGCATAGCAAATAAAACATCAACAATACCATATTCTAAGGATTACTCTTAGAAATGTGCTACGCACCCCAATTTTGAGGTATTTGTATTGATAAAGAATATATTTGCACGATTCTGATCATATATCCAAATCCTAAGGCAAAATCACGATTAAGTTCGTGATCGAGTCTTGTGACTGAGAAGAAGATGGGTAAGTAGGCTAAGAAGCTGGCGTTCTTTTCCCCTTTTCATGGACTGGTCTAGAACTAGGAGAGAAACGATAAGGGAAGAAGAAGAACAGAACAATTAATAGTTCCAGGGATTTCACTAGCCTTAAGCTCACGATCAGGTTGACAATCAGGATGAATTTTATAGAGATAAATAAAAACATCTGAGCAGGCAAAACATCCAATTGCACGTACTGCAAGTGCTTCACAAGCATGAATGGCGAATCGGGATGAACCTCAGAGACAGATCTACCACGCATACTAGATGCAGATTACGAAAAACCATAGTGGATCCCAAAATTTCTGCAGAAGATTGAGTTTTGCAAAAGCTTGAAACACTCGATCAGAAGAGATCTTCAACAACCAATTGCCGCCAGACAACCGAAACCTACCACCAATCTAATAGCTGAATCAAATCAGATAAGACCGGTTAAGTTTTCCGAAATAGATGGAAGCCACAGCTCGGCGCCGAGATATCCACCGGTAATTCAAAGGACCACCATAAGGTCTCGATGCTCCAGAACGATCAACTAAATAAAACATAAAAAGAGGAAGAGATAGGCTCGATCTGACCATGGATAGATGGGATCCAAGAAATGGGGCGGACGGGCGGAAGGAAGGGAGGTCGAGATGGTCGCTGTCCGCCTCCGATTCAGTTGGTGCAAGGCGGGATCTGGCTCGTCCGCGTCCGGATCAAAGCGTTCCCGACCTGCACCAAGCGAATCTGAGGCAGCCGTGACAACAAAACCGTGGTCGCCACCTTCACCGGAGCCGGAGGAGGACTCACTCGGGGCAATGATGGAATGAGCGTAGAAAAGCGAAGTATGGGTCGGACAGCGGACCTGCAACGGGCGCTATTTATGCTGAGAACGGACAGAGCTGATTGTGACACGTTGCACATCAACTCTGATTGAAACCCGTGGAGGTCATAGGACGCGATAGCCTTGAGGCGCGGATTCTTTAATGAGAAAAATGCTACGTTGCCCGACTTAAATTCACGATTTAACATGCAACGAAAACACGCATTGGCAGCCGGCACCGTGACTTGAGTTGCGATGCGAAACGATACTTTCTTCCATGAAGTCTCGAACACTTGCTCATATATGTCAGGTTGCTCTCTCTTAGACTTTGATTTGTGGAAATTGCTGGAATCACATACGTGCTCCGAACTGCTTGTTGCACATCAAATCGGAACTCAAAACACTTGTTGGCTCCAACGTGCTTAATCTGTGCTTCCTATCGCATGAGATATCAATTTCAAAAAAAAAGCTAACGAAACGAGAAGTTTATGTGGAAGGATAAAAAGTCTGGAATGTGTGGTGTGGCACCTCAAAATGTTGCAATGAATGCAGCCATGTGTTTGTACGGGTATTCCATGGGTGAGAGACAGAGATGGTTTCTGCCAGCAGGAATTTGACTTCGCTCCATGCCTTTAGCAGATTCTCTGAAGCTATTAAATAGCTACAGGACATCTTGTGGGGTCGCCTGCAGCAATAGACAACACTCGGGACAACGTGCTGGAATCCATTCATTTAAAGCAGGCAGCAATATTGGCAGACGCCGCATGTGGAAAGCCAAATGCTCCCTCCCAGGATGGATCAGCCATCCATTCATTTAACGCAGGACTCGTTGCAAGCAAAGATAAAGACGAGCAAGAGCAGCAACAAGGAAACCTCGGTCGAGAAAGCTCCTGCTGGGAAAGGCGAGCCCACATTTGAGCATAAGAGGAGGGTTGCAACCGTAGGAGACAGTGGTGACAAGATTGTCACTGAACATGCCAGTCGAGGCCGACACCAAAATCTCGGTGGTTGGGCAGATTTGCTGTAGGAGAGAAGCCACTTAATGGCTGCCTATTTAACTTTTTGAAAAGTGATGGATCGGCTTGATGAGTCTCGGGAGGATGCTTTAGACTTGGAGAAGGACCACTTGCAAAGTAGATCAATATAAATCATAAAGTTTCAGAGAAATGGATGAAGGCCTTACATCTGTGCATCTATGGGAAGCACCCCCACCCACTTTCCGCGAGAGCTTTAGTATGCTACTAAAGAATTGATCCGCCAAATTATGATCGATGATGGCACGAAAGTGTCACATATCTGCCGAAACAACTGAACAATCCATCAAAATAGATAAACATGGAGTGGAAACAACGAGAATTAGGAGGCTGTAATGATGGAGGATTTGTCTCCTTTTGAGACTAATGAAGATATGGATGAGTAAAGGGCTAATTGTGTTGCTTCCGTGAAGATATGGTTGAGCAAAGTAAACAGACTGAAACTGATCCTGACCCTACAAGGTTCCGAGCTCGAATCCCCTGACTCTTTGGCTAATGAATAATGTAACCCTTCCATACTTAGCTGGTAAAGATCTTAATAATATATAATAAGATTTTAGGTTCAAATTCCGTCTTCGTCAAAAAACACAAAAAACAAAACAAAAGAATGCACCACCACTACCTCAAAACCATAATAATTGAGGACTGGGAATCACTAGAAGCAGCAGGTGCAGGGAAAGGAAAGACTCTGCTACAAGCTAAACATGAACAATCACTCAAAATAATATCACAATAGATGAATAGGAGAAAGCAGAATTGGCACAACAAGGATTTACATAAATACATACATGATGTCCATGTAAATTATAGCTTATTACAAGTCATCATGTTTCATGGATCAGTAAGATTTGTGACAAAATCATAATTGTTGGGGAGAAAATATCAATGATATTTGAATAAGCCCAACTCATGGGTGGCTCGAACTCTCGCTCAAGAGCTGAGGTGGACTAACATGCATAATACGCAATTGGCCTATACGAATATCGAGGTCCGATAAGTTTCTCAATTTGATCCCTCTAATACCTAATTCAATAATCAACAAGGGTGGAGTAATTTTAGTAAAGATAGATTTTAATAATTTTAGTAACTTTACCTTGATTATTGTGCTAAAGATAGGTTTTAATAGTAGGTAAAAAGGAGAAAATATTTCATAAAATACTCTTTAAGGGGACAATCTCTAGCCACCCTTTTGGACTAATGTCCACGTAGATCGATCATCGAATAGATCTTATCCCCTCTTGTGAATCAGGCTACAACATATATTGTCATGTGTCAAGTAATTATTGGTCAAGAAAAATTTTCCTTATCAATACTAAGTGAGTCCTAATGAATCAATGGCTAGTTCTTTATTAGTTTGATCAAACTATATTCCACAACCTAATTAAACTCAGATTCCCTAATAAACAGGACCCAGGGTCTAGAGTTTGCACACAATAAGGGCTCCTACTCAATGATTAGTCAAAAACAAGTAGAAAGAATAAAAAAATAAAATACATGCCACGTAGGTCAAGAGATTTTGTTTATTAAATGGTTAGGCAACAAAGAGGGTTTGGAATATAGACCTATGTTAAATATGTAATTCAATTGTCTTTGCAATCAATGTCTCGAAAAAAAAAAAACTTGTAAATATCAGAACAAAATACTGGACTAATGAAACTATTCCTAGAGAATAAGCAAAAACAATAGTTCTTGAAAAGATGAAGGAAAAATCTGAAGACTAGGACAAAGAAATAACATGAGCATTAAAAAGAACTCACCTGTGGTCAAATTTTTTTGGTAAGAGAACTCACAGTATGAAACATTGTGATAAAAGAAAGATTATTCCTAAACAATTTAAGTTGCACCCAAGAAATCCGTTCATTGTTGAAAGATATAAACTCCAGTTTCAATCATCATAATGTCTGATATGGCAAGGGGAGAGAAAAGATACATACCAGATTGTATTTAGTAAAAAGATGATTTCTAATATTGCAGATGATACTTCTCATAATATGATTCATATAGGTTAATTTGAAACTCCAGGTAAACACTAGCTCCAACCTGATGTTGTAAAATGAAATAAGATCAATAATAACACATGACAAAGGAGAAACCAGTCAACACTAACTTCAGCAAATTCAATAATAAGATCAATAATAAGGTCATCCACTCAGTCGCAAAAAATACATGCAAAAAACCAGACACACTTAACTTTTACATGGTGATCTGTTTTACTAGTTTTTGATGTCTTTTGACTGGCAGGCAAATACTTAAACCAATGCCACTGGTGGGGAGAATATAAAAAGGTAAAAAGGGGAATATTGCTTTAGGCAATTCTATTGTCCAACATCACGAACGACGACTTTGACGAGTATAAAAGCCATCCTCTTTCCTAAGCTGTTCGATTGAAGCAGGGGTAGGCGAGAACAAACTGAAATTAAGAAGGCTCGACAAAGACTTAATAGGTTTTGACAATGACAATGTTCCTAGTTCAGGCAAGCTTAGGCAAGAGAGACTTGCAGGCCGGTAGGAATTACCTGATCGATCCAGCTTACGGGAGCATGGGGCAAAGTTGAAATAATTTCTTAAGCATGGAAAGGGTGTTCTGATAAGCTGTTTTGGAAACGTATATAATCATCTCAAAGATATACGACCGGAGAACAAAACCTACCGAACCAAACAGATCCGTCAATCAACACAGTGAAACAAACAGCAATTCCCTGAGATGAAAGAGGAACCAAATTAGGAACACCTTCCCGAGGTAGCTCGGGGGTATTCCTGGGGGTGCTGATCGTGTCGCCGAGGCGCTCGAAGTTGCGGATGGCCGTTCTGATCCGGAACAGCCCGGCCGCCACGGCCTGCCTTGGATCCCGACGCCCGATTAGCAGCCGCCCCGAATATTACAGAGCCTGGAAAACTCATTCTCTCCCTCTCAATTCCCAAAGTTGGCAAGAAACAAATCCCTAACCCGAACCCTAGAATCTGGGATCGACAACGTCGATCGTAGACAACAGCAACCTTGCTAGCGCAGAAGAAGAATCAAGCAAGATATTAAGCAAGGGTAATTGAAACAATTAAAAGGGCTGGGAATGAACGAAGGGAAGACAAGGTTGGGAGACTCAGAGAAGGAGGCGACGCATGCCGGGAATCAACGACATGAGCAAGGCAGAAGTCCTCTCTCTCTCTCTCTCTCTCTCTATATATATATATATATATATATATATAATCGCGGCAATTAAAACAAAACGGTAGATGGACGACCAAGGAGCACGGGCCCACCTCACGTGAGAGGCCAACGACGTGGGTCCCGCAACTGTTAATTTTACATGTCATCCAACAGTATTTGCCCAACGAAGAACCTCTCTATAATCACGTGTTATCTTCTTATTCCCCACACAACCATAATCCGCACCGTGTTTCCAACAAGATGCACCTAACAACATAAAGGAAACCTAGATGTGACTGGGTCCCGGAATCGGACGGATGTTAGCGGGATTTGGAGCCGCAATCCAAGTCGACGGTGCTCCCATTGCGATAGACGAAATTGAGCTGGCACGCTATGCGAGCCCAGAACCTGACGGAGAAAAAAATGCCCACCCGCCACCGGGTTCTCGCATGCCCGCCGAAGTCGAACGGCACAACGCCCCTGTTGAGAGCCACGCGCATGGCCTCCATCCCCTCCTTATCCAGCGGGATCGGCGATGACTGGAAGAGATAGTCGAGTTCGGCAGAGCTGTTCTTGGCGACATCGAATGGATCGGTCTGCAGCACGGCGACGTCGATCCCATGGAACCGGAGAACGAAGGTCGCGTCAGAGAAGCTGGCGACGGCCTTCTTGTTGTCGTTCTCGGCCACCACTTTTAGGGCCATCCGGATCTCGAGCATCCCCGAAGGTTCGTAGCCGAGTTGATCGAGATGAGCGTAGGCGACCTTGATGTAGGGCATCTTGGGCTGGTAGATCACGTAGATGGCGAACACGACGATGCCGGTAACGATGACGGCGATGGCGAGTATGGCGCACACGATGGCGACTATCCAGATCAGCGGGTTGGTGCCCTTGGGCCGCTTGGCATAAAGCTTTGCCATCCCGGCATGCGGGAATATGTTGCTGCTGCTGCTGCCTCGCAGTGTTTCTTATGGTGAAGGCTGGGAGAACACAGGGAAGGAGGAGCCCTGTTCCGGGGTTCTTGCTCCCGCGCAATGTCCAAGGTTTGGTATCTTCTTTGCCCTGGCGGAGAGACACAAGTTTTCTCCCAGAAAAGTGGTTTTTTTAAGGACCTCGGTAGCCTTACCGTTGGCCAAAGAAAAATACCATGCTTGCCTTGTGTTGTTGGCCCGTTTAACCTTTCTTCTTTCCGAGACACCACCAGTGGGTACAATTCAACTCTTTAACCTTTGCAAATACCTCTTCTTCGGCTTTAGAACTTTGACTTTTCCTAAACCCGCCGTGCCGTGTCGATCGCTGTTGAGTAATCACCACACCTAATTTATCTCCCTTTTCACAGCCCAATGATAATAAAAGAACAAATTCAATTAGCACACAAACAAATTTCTAAAGTTGAAGAACTTTCAGTGCTGCAGGAAAGTTTTGAAAATAGAGCACATCTGAAGGTCCAAAACAGCATGTTTCGAGCAGAAATAGTATTTGCCTTAAACTAGATACTGATCACAGTATAATTCCGAAGAATTATAGCAGCTTACAAGGAACTAAGAGCAGATCACAGAAAGCATAGGCAAAACGTTCCTTCCAACCCTTGGTTCAGTTAGATTTGGGAAAATGAGGAGTGAGCAATTTGGCAATTTCCATCATGCCAACTTTGTCTCTACCATCAAAGATACCCTTCAGTTTCTCATCGCAGCAAATCTCCCTCTTATTTGTTGGGTTCTACAAAAAAAAAAATGCAAAACTAATTAGAAACTATAATCGACCATATACTCAGATACAACTTCATTTTAACAGCAAAAATCTTATGAAGAAAACAAGAATTGATGGTTTGGCCTCATCCGACAAGCAACATACATAACGAGTGCTACGGATTAGACCGGCTTAACACTCTAATAAATGCTGATAACCCTCATCGTTGTGTCAATAGCATGAGGAATTTTCCCAAGTAAATAGATAGATCTTTGACGACAACAAGTGGAAAAACCAATAGGGTATTCATACAATAACGGCAGATGAACATGAGACGATAAATGAATCTCTAGTGGCCTTCTCCAAAGTTCACAAGATAGTGTGGAACTTTAAATCTATACCAAGAAATAATCATGTAACCACAAATATCGGCAACAACACACAAACAACATATATTATGGGGATTAAAAAATCAAAATGAACTATCAACTAAACCATTTACATTATATTAACAAAGGATACCATATTGAAGATGGAATACATGCATACAAGAAAAAAAGAAGAAAAAGAATTGTTCACATTTGTATACGCTTGATAGTACCAAAACGAGTTACACAAGCAGAAAACTAGTAATAAAAAAAGAAAAAAGAGAACTTCAAAATTGTAACAAACCAGAAAACTGATCACAAATTGCAACTCATGGCCCAACACACAGAATCCCAATATTTGAAAGTCTATTTCTTCCAACTTAAAGCTTCAAATAAGTTGCAAACTTATTTCTCTCCCATATTTTATCGAACTGAGTAAATATGGCCAGTCACAGACATGGGGAAAATATTAGATACCAATGAAAACTTGAAAGTGAACCTGAACATGCAAAATAAAAGTAGAAAAAAAAAAAAAGTCTCATGTGAACCCAAGTAGAATAACCTCTGTGATAGAACATTGATATATTGCACAGTGAAAACCTAGCTACCAACACTAAGAAATTCACAGTTCAAAGGACTTGGAGCATCTTAAAGTCCTCCTCATGAACATCACATGACAGTCTTATTTTCAAATCACTTGTCAAAAAAATAGCTCTTTGCATCTCTATGACAATTTTCCATCATGGAAAATTTCAGAATGTTTGAATCAGATGGGGCGTACCCAATGCATAAGGCTCCTGCCAATGCAGGCTCTAGGAAGGATCAATATAAGTAACCTTATCTTTAAACAATTAAAGAGACCGTTTCCGAACCCTAGTCTCCTAGGTCACAACTTTTCTGTTGTACCAATGGTTGAATCAGATAGCTGTTAGAATAATTGTTTGAAGGAGTTATACACTATCAATAAACAAATAAAATCCCAACCCTTGTCCGAAGACAAGATAAACACCTCAGCCCATCAAAGTGCCACTTAATATCAAAGTGCCACTTAATGCTCATAATTTGTCATTTAAACAAGTTAATTAGATCTTTGCAATTTGAACTTTTGGGTCGCTAATCTGGTACTTACTCGGAATTGAAATTCCACCAAATGTGACAGCTCACAAAAGAAAAATCTGCGGCCCATTCTTCCAAAGTATAGTCTCAAATTGGAAAATAAAGTGGGATCATCCACCAAGCAGCTCTAAATATGAAGAGAGAAGAGAAAAAGAATAGCCATACAAGATGTATTTAGAAAGCCACTCCTCATGAAACTTCTACTACTAGTGCAAAGAGTGCTTCAGATGAATAATATGTATGTATTTGATACGGGCAACAAATCGTCTTCAAAAAAGCATGAAGAATAAGAAACACCTCATTTTTCTCCAATCTTGAGGATTTAAGACAACGAATCAAGTGATAAGTCTGCGTATAAAGCCTATAATCGCCAGAAGACCACATCATGAGATGGGAAGCTTCACGATAACACCATGAAGTACAAATAGAAGTAGACAAAGATTCAAAGGAAGAGACGAAGAGGCAGAGCTACGACCTGAAGCTGGTTGGCCTTGATGTGCTCCCAGATCTTCTTGACGGCCTCGACGCGGGAGATCTCTGGGACGCCAAGGAACTTCTTCATCGCCGGGGAAACGGGGCGCGGCTTCAGCAAGCCCAACTTTGGCTTCGACGCCGCCGCCGCAGGAGCGGCCGCAACCTCCTTCGTGCCCGCCCTCGCCGCCGCCATGAGCACCCGACATCCCCCCAAAACCCTAGACATGCCCGCTTTCCCTTCAAACCCTCCCGCTCTCCAACGACGGAATCGAGGCGCACCGAGCGAACAAAGGAGTCTCGTGATGTGTCCTTTGGGGGGAGGGGGGTGGGGGCAGTCTTAAGTAGGCCACATAAAGGTTTTAATCAATATTTTACCGACCCGTTCAACCGGTACCCATTCACTTACCTGCCATGGCCACGTGAAGGTTTTAATCAATATTATACCAACCCGTTCAAACGTTACCCGGTCACTTACCTGCCATGGCAAAATGCTCCCATCGCGAAACCTATATGGACTCTACGACATTCACCAATAAAACGCAGGTATCTTGTTTGGTAAACGACACGAGTTATGAAATATTTTCTATTTTATCACCGAAAGAAACACGATATGATAATGTTTTATTGCTGCTGCTTCTTCTTTTAAGCAACTCCAGAATTCAGATACGACCTCATCCTTCTAAATCTCACAAGAAACGATACGAAGGAGAGAGAGCTTCATAATAGACAGGGCCAAGAATGTAATGTTCTATATCTCTCCAGAAAAATCTGGTGATAGCATTTGATGTTGCTCAAGATCCCAAAAAAACAAATGCTGAATCTTCACCAGCAAAAGAAATAAAGTAAGTAGAACAAAGAATCAAAAGCTGAATTCTTTTTTGTTTCTTCTTTTTCTTAAGCTGAAATGTAATCAAAGTGTGTGGTTCATTCAGAATAGATTGGTTTGCCGGCTGAGGCGAAGTGGCAGGCCAAAGTTCTGATAGATCCTGATATCCCCACCCAGACCGGCCGTGACAACCACCAGTCCCCAGGCGTTCGGTTGATCGCCGCCCCCGCCGCTCCTGGTACTGCCTCCACTGTACCATCCCCAGGAGGACAAGGAAGATGAGCCAGGATCCGAAGCCCGCATGGAAGAGGAAGCTGAAGCAAATGACTCGCTGCCGATCCCTGCGCCCGAGAGAGATATGTTACTGAGCTCCTCTGCTTGAGACTGTGTCAGCTCCGAGTCGCTCTTCTTGGGAAGAGGCGGGGATGAGTTACTGCCGCTGGGGAAGATGTCATCGAGTGTGGCGGTGGACCGCTGCGAGTCGGTGCTTCCTAGGGGTTCCTGCTGGCTGAACCTCCCGGACATGGGCGGCGGAGATAGTGGCGAACAGTTACTTCGGGCATTTGGCCATGGAATTGCGACCGACACATCCTTGCAGTAGAAGTGCTCGTGAGATCGAGTGGTGCTCAAGCCTTTGCTTTTGCCTGCGTTTGCCTCTCGCTTCCATACGTATACGTGAGAGTCCTCGCTCGCACATATGACGTATCTCCCATCCGAGGTATATGATGCAGACATTTGACTGCTGGTGTTCCGGAAACCTGAACTCCACATTTCCAAGCAGCAATCAGCAAGCACACTACCATTACAACAACTGAAGAACCTGCGTATTTGACTAGATGTAGAACATTAACTTCACTGAAGACTATGGTTCAAAATTATTGTTTGCTGCACAACTTATACCATCATCAAAACTTTTGATGTTCTCTCCTGTAAGATAATGCATGCTCTGTTTTTGGTCGCTAGTAAATCGTTCAGACACCAAAATCACATCGTTCACAGCCAAACACAGGTAAGTTCTTCAAATTAAGCAAATCATGTTTATCTATTGACAAATCAAGCGACGTCATGAAGTACTGTAAATATCCACCATGATGACAGAGTTGTATAGAAGGTACGAACTAAAATAAATATATATTTATCTATTTGAGGAGGAAATATAGATTCATGCAATCAGAAAACATCAAAATCTATAGCAAATCCCAAAGATTGCAATTTTGCATTTAGATATTTTTCTCAATAAAAATAAAATACAAAGGTAAAGAAAAAGAACTCATCTTTGACGTGAGACCTTATGAAGCAAAGTAGCAGAATAAAACCTACAGGTGACTTTAGCTTATAGTTTAGTTTGCATTTAGAATCTGGATAGCACGATATACTAAAAACACACCAAAATAAAACTAACTACTATTTCTCAAAGAAAAGCAATTCTAATTTTAGTTTGTACCTCTGAATTTGTGAACCATCTTGAGATCGTCAAAGACCCGAACCTGTGAATCAGCTGAGGTGATCAACACTTCAGATGGATTGCCCGGAGCAAACTGTTTGAACACACAAATTAGTCATCTAGCATATCGGTACCCAAAGCATAATAAATCCAAGGCAAATGGACATTTAGGTGTTGATTATTAGCAAACATTTCTCTCCAGACCTAAAAATATTACTATTAGCCAGTAATCATCATTTTTTTATTACATTAAGAAATAATGCTATTTTACATGTAAATATAGGTTTACCTGAAATCCAGTTATCTTTTTTGCATTTGTCTTCTTTTTCTTGTTCTGTATATCTATCTGGCTTTCTTGGGAAAGCTTACAATCTGGAAAAATAATACAGAACACCCCAAAGGTCATTTTAAGTACTGAAAACAATAATAACATCAGCTATATGCCATAAATAGGAAGTAGAGTATAAAATGCAGGATAGAGTATTAATCATTGTGAGAGGAATCTTTCAATATCAATTTACAAAATAGAACAACTCCTCGATTGAGGAACTTAAAAAGATGGTTCATACCGGTGGTCTTGTAGAGCCGGAAGCTCCCTTTATGTGAGCCAACTAAAGCACCCTTTCAAACATGGATACAGCCAGTTAGTAACTGAACAGGCTTTGGATATATAGTACAATAGAAATGTAGATAATAAAGTATCGACAAAGTACTGTGCACGCAAATATCATTTGGTTGCACCTGACCGTCTGGTGTATAGCAAGCAGCCGTGACCATCTCATGGAGATCAGTCCAGTCTACAACTTGGCGATCTGGTACACTCCATATCCTAACCTTGGCATCAAGAGAGCCACTGATGAAGTACCTATCGTCTATTGGATTGAACTGGATGCATGTTACTGCAAAAAATTCAATCAAGATCAACAGAAGCATTAAGAGAATAAACATCAAAAAGATCAGCATGAATTAAGTTACACCAAAGTGGCATTCAAATGACAAAAATGCAAGTAAAAGTTTAGTTGGTCGCCTTACCATAATCATTGTGTGCAAACAACCTCAAGCAGGACTTTGTTTCCATGTCCCATAGTCTTACAGTCTTATCCATTGATGATGATAACAAATGCTGCACTCAAAAAGATACAACGATTAAGAATACCAGATTAATTTTATCAATAAATGCTTTGTCAGTATGTTGTGCTTTTTTCATGCTTACAAATTTACCAACAATCAATCAGATGAACAAGTTCTTACAGGTCAATGATTTAATTCATCATTCTACAACAAAAGATTAGCTCCGAACAATGGTGTGTTTTCAAGCCTTCCAAAGTTACTGAGCAAATCCTTTCAAGGTTAAAACTAATAAATGGCTTATGTTTCTGGACCTTATAATCACAATGTGAAAAGTGAAAACAACCATAGAATGAGCCAAATTCCTAGAAGACGCCTATTTTAGTTCTCTCAATAGAGAGACATTTTCCACAAATACTCCTTTTGACCTAATTAAGCATATAATTTATGACATATGAAGCTAAGCTCCAAACAAATCTTAGCACTATAACACAAAAACAAGGCACGAGGTTAATTCATGCAGAGGGGAAAGTTTCAATTTCCACTTGGTACTGAGATCATCAAACAAAACTCACGATTCGATGAGCCTTGATGCATGTGCCTTCCCTTTGTATGCATGACATTATGAGAGTGAGATATTAACCTGAGATTTAGACCAAGAGAGGTCCAGGACGTCATCCGAATGGCCTTCAAAGGAGCAAACCGGCTTCTCTGAGAGTGAGAAAATGACTTCCGGCATATTGATGTAATCGGGAAGGGACCGCTTTTTGCTCTTGGTCTTCTTGGTCTTCTTCAAGGGCTGGGTGCTGGGAAGCGACCCATCCGGGGATCCATCGGGTTTGGATGGCGGAAGGGTGCGACTCTCTTGGCGCCGCAGCGAAGTAGAATGGATGTCACATTCTTGGACTTGCCACACATGAACGACGCGATCCTCGCCGGCGCTGGCCAGGAAGCGGCCGTCCCAGCTGAACTTGATGCTCCATATGGAGCCCTGATGGGCGTCGATCTCTTGGCTCATGTAAAGGCCGGTGAGCTCCCTGTAGGACTTGCCGTGCTGACGGACCTTCATCAGCTCCGACGAGTTGTCACCGGGCGACTTTCCGGTCACCTTCGACCCGGCATCACCCTTCTCCTTCTCCGTGATGAGCCCCGTGACGGAGCTCGCGACGAATTTGATGTTCTTGAACCAGCCCCCTTTCTTTCTGTATCCCGGTTTCGAGTTCTTGGGGCCCTCAATGGCTTGGACGGCCTTGTCGCTGCTGCGCTGCTGGCCGCCGCCCAGTTTCACCCTCCGCATGAGCTCCTTGACGATCGGCGAGTATCCCAGGAACCGCTCGAAGTCCTCCATGGTGATCTGCAGCCCGGTCGGGATGTCGTTGAGCCGACCCTTCCCGTCTTTGTCGCACTCGCTGACCACGAATTCGTTTCCCGTGTCGGGATTCTCGATCCGGCAGACCTCACCGGAGGCGAGCACGAGGGCTTCCGCATCGTCCGCTCCTGCAACTCCGTCGTCTCCGGCGGCTTCCGGCGTTTCGCGCGCGAGGTTGTCCCAGAGGGTGGGCGGGGCGGAGGCGGCACGCGTCAGGGTGGGCTCGGCGAGCGGAGGCGAGCCCCTCGTCGCCAGCTCCGTGTCGGATCGGCATCTGGTGATCGCCGGTGGGGGCGTGGAGGTGTCGGGAGAGGCCGCCACCTCGATCGCCTCCGGGGACACCGGCGACTGCGGCGCCGGTAGCGGCGGTAGCGGCGGCAGCGGCGGTAACGATTCCGAGGCTTGGTCCCCGTTGACGGCAGGGGCGTCGACGGCTTTCCGGCTGATGCTGCGGATCCGTAGGGAGGCGGCGAGGTCCCTCTTGCTGGCGAAGCCCATGCCCTGGAGGAGGCGGCGGCGGCGCTCCTTGATGGAAATGGGCTCGGCCATCCAGACGTCGTAGTCGTAGCCACCGGGTCCTCTTCCCTGGTGGTGGCCCTCGTCCTCGTCACGGTGCTGCGCAAGGAACTCCTCTCGGGAGAAGGTGACGCAGCGGAGGTCGCAGGGCGGACCGACGGCGGAGGCGAAGGAGATACGGACGTCATCTTCCTCGTCGTCATCCGAGTCGGAAGGGAGGTCGAGACAGAAGGAGACCCTCGAGGCGACGCGATCGAAGGACTCGAAGAAGCAGTCGTCCCCCTCGCTTTCCGCCTCCTCCTGCTCTTCTTCTTCCTCCCCCTCCTCGTATTTCTCATCCTCCTCCTCGCCGCAATGACGATGATGACGATCCGCCCGTGCCGTTTGCTGCTGCTGCTGTTGCTGCTGCTGCTTCATCGTCATCGTCGCCGTCGTCGTTGAGGTGGAGGCGGAGAAGGAGAGGGCAATAGCATCGACCGGAGAAGGAGAGGAGGGCCATTAAGGGAGGATATGGGGGAGGAAGAGGGGAAGACGTGCGGCGTCGTGGAGGGAAGCGAGGGCACTTCGGATTGCCCTTCTTGAAATGGTCTCTTGGTTTTCTTATCCATACACTACGGTGAAATGGACTTCTCTCTCGAGCACATCATCATCATCATCATCATCATCATCATCTCTATGAATTAGTTCGTTCTCAACGAACAATTATAAATATTATTATTTTGAATCTGTATTTATAATACTCATATATTTTTAGCCAATTTTAGACTCGTTTATGGTTTTTTTTACTAATATTTATATTATTTTTATTGATATACTGAAAACACTATAAAGATTATTAAAAAAACACTATCAGTAACAACATCATATTATATAAATCTTTTATCATTATATATTTTATTTTTAATTTAATTGTATGTCGACAACATTATTCTGTTGTCATTGTTTCTCCTCTTTAATTTATGTGGCTTTGTATTATTAGAAATATCATGATGTGAAGTCAGTCCAGTATTAACCTTGATTTCTTTTCCGATTTGTATTCTTTCATATTCTATCATGGATTCATAACTAATTGAAGCATCTGTTTTATTTATTTATTTCGGAATTTAGGTCGTAGAATACCGGTGGTTTTGCTCTATAATTATTGTTACCAACGGAGAAAATGTAGTTGATTTCTCTTTGCTAATTTACGTATTTCTATGTTCATAAATAGAACATTGATTGATTGATTGATGGTGATGCTGAAGCGGATCGGTCCATCACTATCCAATGGGCTTTGAGCGAGGTATTACTTAGTACCATTCAAAGGAGATTAAATTATTGGGCTTGGAGCGACAGTCGACCAAGTGTTGAAGAGGGTGAGAGAAATTTTTGAATCAATAAAAAAAAATAATGAAAAGTAGGAGATATATAAAATATTTCATTTATAAAAGGCTCATATTTAATAAAAAAAATGGTTCATCATTTTTTTTTACCAATCCGGATAATTAACTTTAGCGTTAGAGGGACTCGATAAATCCTCTATTAACTTCAGTATTCATATAGGTGATACCTTAAGAGTTCAGTGTTTTCATCTTAAAGACATATTAAGTAACCCTATACACATGGATCTAAACTATATTGGGTTGATCAAAACATCAATGACTTATTCACATGATATAACGTAAAACTAACATATTCTAGAAGAAAATAAATTTTTTGTCATGTGCAATTAATTAGAAGATTATTGAATTATACATGTTCAAGCATAATCTCCTTATACACCATAAGAATATATATACATATATATATAATATTTTTATTTTCATACTAATATTTTTTTTCATCGATTCTAGAAATCCTAAAAAATACTAATTAATCATAATAATGATCTTTAACTAAACCTAAGTGTAATCTCCATTGCATTTTAAGTGAAGCATTACTTGATATCAACCGACGAGAAGACATGTTATCATGTAACAATAAAGCTTACATCTAAAATTTGGGTAAAATATTACCGTTGACTCACATTAAACATTGCTAATCGTTAAAAATCCATCGCATCATAGAAATATTCTACTGTATTATTCAAATCGAATAGACTATTTGGTCATTCTTAATTCTTTTATAAATATCTAATGTATATTTAGGTGTTGCGAGATAATAACATATACGTTTGATGCTCTTATGACTGAGAGAATTCTCATTAGAGTTTTCATAGAGAATAAAAAATATAATAAATTATTTAATATTTATTTAATTAAAGATAATTTGAGGGATTATATTTGATCTTATATAACGAATAATTTAATTTTTAATTGATTGTTGACCCGAGTTTCTCTTTCCATTACCAATTTTTTATTATTATTACTATTGATATATATATTTCTCATGCAATTGAATCTTAGTTTTTGTTATAAAATACTTAATATATTATTTATATTAAGAAATCATCGAAAAAAAATTAAAATTAATGTTTTTAGGTGTAAAAATGTCTTTGACAATTGAAACTTCTGTTTACTATTCCCATCCGAGTTGACGAGAACCGCTAAATTCAAACAATGGTGGGGAGACCACATGGGGACCACATGACCGCAACCCATGCCGCTGACAGTTGTCACCGTAGATAAGGCTAGCAACCGACACCACCGCCCACGTCTACGCGCGCAGTTCCATCTTGACATTTAAGTGAAGACTCACGCGGACCAACACGGCCGCCAAATGCGACGCAGGAAGACGGCGTCACGCTAAGCATTATCATAGATGAGCGGGAACAACTGGTATTAACATCACGTGGCAGTACATACGTTCCACATGTAAACAGTGAGGAACAAAGTGGCGGCGACAGTGGTTGCTTCAGTTGGTGTCTGTAAGGTAGTAATCGGGTGTTAAAGGACGAAGCACGGGTGGCTGTTCCTCTTCCAGCGCCGCCACCACCTCTTTCTGGATATGCATGTACACCACCCAGTCCCCGTTCCCCTTGGCGCTCGGCATCGGCATCACGTACCCGGCGCTTCCGCCCCAGGGAAAGTGGTAGGATCCGAACGCCGCCTTCCCCCATCCGAACTCCACCTCCGCCACCGGAAACGCCCTTCCTGATGACACGACGCACCCCGGCCCTTCGTCAGCCTCCCCGCAGTAGATCCTCGCCACCGCCGGCTCCGGACGGTGCACCTCCACCCAGTCGACCAGCCCCCGGAAGTGCTCTTCCGTGGTTCCCGGTCTCAGCCACCCATACACCACCTCCGCCACTTCCGCCAACTCCATCCGCCTCAGACTCTCCACGTTCAACCTGCCGTAGGGGATCGACAACACGTTGCCGAAGTAGCTGGACATGGCAGCGTTTCCGAGACGAGACCGGCCGTCGACGACGACGCCCATGCGGCACCACCTGTCCTCCGGCGCCGCTGCTTTGGCCAGAACGCGCCAGAGGTAGGCGGTGAACACCACGATTTTGCTTCTCCTTTTGGCGGAGGACTGCATGCGGTTAATGTCCGCAGCGGCGATGTAGTAAATCCGGTTGACAGCTTGGTCCGAATAATGATGCTTGGGGGGCGGGAGGGAGGAGACGGGGACGAAGAGGCGGTCGAAGGAAGGATGGAGCTGAAGCGGGTGGCGGGGGGTGAGGAGAGACCGGCGGAAGGAGGGGAGCCGGGAGAGGGGCTTCAGCATGGCGATCTCCGACCAGGCAACCAAGAACATGTTGGCAGAGTAGGCATCGGCGACGCGGTGGTCGAACGTGCAGGCCAAGACTAGGCTGCCGCACTTGAGCTCTGTTGCCTGTCATGCCACACACAACACACAGGCCCAGTATCAGTACGACATCGAGATCTTGATCTGCCCAACCTCAAGCACGGGAGCGTTTAGTACCTGCACACACAAAACTCCTTCCTTCTTCTTCGGCACCAGCTTCCCCTCGACGCTGTCGTCGGGGTTGCAGAGCCTCAGCTCCCTAAGCTCCACGTCCGCGAAGACTACGACGAAGTCCACGCCACGATTGTTGCACTGCAGCTCCGGCTCGCCCACCGAGTTCGCCATCACCTGGCCTGCAAAGGGGTAGTACGTCACCAGCGCTTGCGCTAGGGATGCTTTGAGCAAGCTCACCATGGAGGCGAAGGTGGAGTGAAAGTGCTTCCCCTCTGGTTTCCTGTAACAGAGGAAGACACCAACGTCCATGTCTGGCAAGAGGAGGTCCAGATTGGACAACGGCAAGCGGTGTTCTTGCACTGGCAGCACCGCCACCACCGTCTCACTCCCCTTAACGTCTATGGAAAATTCTTCGCTTCCTCCCATCCCTGTGTGTGTTGTCTTTCGATGAGAGAGAGAGAGAGAGGCGAATCGGAGATGGTTTGGAGATCAAAGAGGCTTTAGGTTCAATTTATAGAAGCGGAGAGGTAAGTTTGTCACGCTAGCTCTAACCAAATGAACATATAATAATCGAGGGGGCTCGGCAGCTACCTCTGCTTGTTTCTTTGATATGCCAAATCATTCCGAAGAAATACCTGAGGATATATATATATATATATATATATATATATATATATATATATTCCATGATTTTGGGATATCATATAGCTACGATTGGTACCTCAACTGCATGTTCTATGGGTATCTACAAAGCTCTCTTGTCCTTTGGCATCCATCATTAATCACAGCAGCAGCTCAGCTAACACATGCATGCAATGTTGTGTACGTCGACTGCTTTCTTAAGGCTACGTACACAAACTCATGTTACTGACACAGCAATGACAATCTAAACTCCCTCATAAAGAATGGGAGTCTTAGCTTAGTTTAAACCAAACGCAAATTGAAAACACAACTGTAGACTGTATTATAAGCTTAGTTCAACAGACCCATATATAGTATCCGAACCACCAACAAAGATCTTGCTTTCTGAGCTAAAAGGAAAGGAAACATATATAGATTTAGCATCCATTGCCGCGGTCAACCATCAAGGAAGAAGGCTGAAGCACCTAACCAGCTAGTTTAAGTCATATCTAACCTGTCAAATATCCCTCTCTTTACATCAACAAGTGTTATCAGAAAGTGTTTTGCATGGAGTCAACTTTCGTTCTTTCTTAAGAAAAATTGTGGTAGGATACAAAGGGAATTTAGTGTCGAGGAGATTTGGTTCCCATTGGAAGGTCACTCACTTGCAGAGTTTGTTTTCCGATGAGGAAAAGTATTAGACAGAGGTTTCTGTAGCACTTCCACTGCAACCATCACACTTAAATAAGCATTTGGATTCTTCTTTAGATTGATAAATAATTTCTTGAACTGGAGAGATGATGATGTTGATGGTGAATGCCTTACCAGAAGGCTTTGAATTATGTTCCATCATCTGACAGATTCAGTCCCTCTGTGGACATGGCAAAGTTCTTTTGTTCCCAATCCAAGAGCCAACCAAGATCACCTACCATGTTTGTGTTCTCTCCCAACAAAAAGAGGCTAAAACTTTCCACCTGATGGCTAAACCAGTGTCTAGGTTTTCCAACCCAAATGCATGGATCAGTTCTTGCATCTGCTGGCACCTCCATCCACTACTTAGCTAAAAGTTGCCTTTGTTCTAGTGATTACCAATTACAAGTAGTGGAGCAAATTCTTAGGTAACTGCGAAGAGTAGACACAAACTGCGAGTGCGGTTGGTGGGCGACCGTAAACAAAATGGCCTCCCAGTCTCCTCCTCGTTGCCAACTCGCTTCCTCTGTTCAGCCGTTCTCTACCATCTCCACTAGGGGGCTCGGTCGCACCATGAATTCCAGCGGCGGTGGACCGTAGTTTGACCGGCGTCTCCTGTGACTTGGCTTTCCCACCTAAATGCTGCTGTGACTACTCTTCATCCAAGACTTTCCACCCACAGGAAGTCAAGCCGCTGCCTCCTCCAAAGCACCCAAATGCAACCTTCATCACTTAGCCCACCATTTAGCGGGGCCTGTCAAGCTGCTCGAACCTGTGAAAGAAAGCCCACCTGCTTGCTTTCATGGGCAGATGGGAATTATCTCGAATTGTGTTTGATGAATGATGTGATGATACGGTCTAAGAGAGGCCGCGTCGCCCATCAATGGTTACCGCATCCCGGCTGATGTGTCACTCCTTTATTGAAAATGTACACGGTAGCTTTTGTGGGACCCACTTACAGGGTCCCTTCCGGTCTCTGCCAAATCTTCTGGATTCTCTCACACTACACACGCACACACGGATAGAGCCATTTGGAGGCGGGAGAAAGCGTGCGCCTCCTGCCGGCGAACGCAAGGCAGGGCCTTTCGACCAAGTCGGTAGGTAACCTCCAACTTCTCTACATGTTCTGGTCCGGCCGGGTTGCCGGTGCTGCTTCTTCTGCCTCCTCCCCTTGCACACCTGTCTTCCTTCTGCCGATTGGAAACGACCTCCTCCGGCCGAGTCCTGCTAATTTCTGGCGCAAGGGCCGATAAATCGGCCGAAATCTTCCGTCGTCCATCCCCGACCCCGTTCCACGGACACGACTCCGATGCTTATTTCTTCCCCTTTTCCTCTCAGACTCTACGGACTAGCAACATGGAGCAAGCCGGCATCATCCAGGCCCTGCCCATCACCCCAATGAAGGAGAAGGAATCCCAGCGCAGGAAGATGAGCACTGACGCCAGCATTAGTCCTCGGGGGCCGGCGAGTTCCTCTCGTTGCACTCGCTCGCAGGCCGCCGCCGACTGGACCACATACGAGTTGCTCGTCCTCGTGAACGAGACCGCCGCCATGGACGAGGACTGGCTCAGGGCCCTCTCCTCGTACCAGAAGTGGAAGATGATATCCGACAACTGCGTGGCCTTGGACGTCATCCGGTCCTCCTACCAGTGCAAGCGGCGGTGGGAGTCGCTGCTCGCCGGGTACAGGAAGATCAGGGAGTGGGAGTCCCGGCACGGGGAGGGCTCCTACTGGAGCTTGGACAGCGAGGAGAAGCACAACCTGGGCCTCCCAACTTCGTTCGATCCGGAAATCTTTGGTTCCATGGACACGATCATTAAGCCGCATGAGGACCAGGCTTGGTGGGGCGACGTCGACTCAGAGAACCTTATGGATACCGCTGGTGGTTCCGAAGACCTGATTGTGACCATGGAGGCAGGAATGCTGGATGCCAATGGTGCTCAAGGTACGTTGACTACTTGGCTGTGACTCTCAAAGCTTTTCTTCTTGTTAGGGAAGCTAATGACTGTTGTTCTACATAAGCCATTATGCAGACATCATGCAAATAGTTGGATGATACAAATGCATCATTAGTCAAACACTGTTGTTCTACACAAGTTGGATTTTACAATGTCATAAGGCACCAATTGATATCAATAACCTTCTCATTCTTTTAATTATTGCCAAGGAAACTGCTTTTAGTAATAATTGATCCAAAATGTATGATGAAATTCAACATATACAAACGCAATTCCATCAATGGACATAATTGGGGAGTATTCCATACATATTATATGTTGATTCATCTTAAGTATGCATGGAAGTGTATAGTTAAAGAAGCATATGAAAACTCTATTCTTTGTGCTCGAAAATTTTTCTGTTGTCCAATTAGTATAGGATAAATATCATGTCATATGTTTCAGCTATGGAGTATATTTTAGCTTTAATCGCCTGTCAATATTGATTTGTCGAAGGGGAGATGCAAATTTCCCTCTGCAAAAATATGGAAGATGAACTTGTGAAAATTTACTAACAACTAAAGTAGCGCAAAATCCAATCTGATCTTGAGATTGCCATTGCGACAATTTTTTATGCTGAAAGTCAGCTTAACCAAAAATTGCAGGTAATTGCATTTTTAGGAACATTTCTGCTAGTCTGCCAATAATATAATAATATGTTGTGACAGCTTCTCATGCGATGCATGGTACAATGCTAGTATGTTTTGGTGTAGCAAAGTTTTAAGTGCTGTGTTCTATGCCTGATCAGATTGGCACAGGCACAGCAAGTGGCAATTTGCCCTGTTTATTCTGTGCCTTGTCATGATCATGGCTTTCGCATGCTTGTTCATGTGCCTGATTTTATGTTTGGCCTCATGCCTTGTTCTGCTTCAGAATGGGTATGGCAACTGCATAATCCATGCTTATTTCTTTTTACTTCTTTGTGTATGTCCTGATAATTATACCTTGAGGTTTTTGCATTTCTTGTGTCTTCCAAAAGGTTAGTCATTACACAAATGGAGTGTATCCTCTTGTTTCTCACATCGTCAGGTGTTGCGTCTTGCCGCCATTTTTTATAAGATAATTAGAAACGTAGGGATTTTTTAGGATCGGCCTTTAATTGCAAATTTTGATATCTCAAATTTGTAACTTCAGAACATCCTGTTTTCCTATTCAAGTTTCTAAAACTAGCTACTCGGTTGGGTAAAAAAGGAACACTTGCTAAAAATATATTGTCAATGAAAAGGAGGTTTTAAATTCAGGCAAGTTATACGAAATTTTCAACTGAATTACTTAGTCATCTGAGATGTCTGTCGAATGCCGGTAGGACTATTTTCGTGTATCGCTGTTGTTGTAGATAAGTTGTGAATTATGGTGTATCGAGAAACACTTGAATTTCCCAACTATTGTATATCTTTTTATCGACTTTTGACCTCTGCTTCAGCTGTTTGCTAGATATCATTGTTGGTATTTACTCTGGTGGTGGAGAACAAACATGCAACCAGCTCAACTTGGATTTTGATGATTGCACTCCATGTACAAGGAGAATAACTTAGCCGATCACATCCCACCTTTTCAGGTTCCAAAGAGAATAATGCAGAGGATGAGACTCAGAAGAAGAGAGAGAAGGCAAGAGATATGGCGAGCAAGCTGCAAGACAATGCTCGACGGATACACGCCATACTCAGAGGAGAGCTGGAAGCTGCAGACATAGAGTTCACTAGGCGCCAAGCTGATCAGCTGATCGAAGCTTTGAGGGAGCTTGTTGGCCCTCTGAACCAGTTTACTGAGCTGATCAGGGCTGGGAATTTTGGAGGAATCAGACTCATCTGACTCGATGGCTATGTGATGCCCTTGTTTTCCCCATTTTTGGTTGCATCATCTCATACACTGTTAATGAAAAGAAATCCATCGTGTTAAGCATGCTTAGTAGTTTTGTACTGCGTTGCTACTGCTAACTATCAGAGACCTCATCTAAGCGTAGGAAGTACTGTAACTACCGGTTGTTGCCGCCTCAGGCATTTGTGTCTCCTTTGCTGATGTGTGCGACGTTTGCCGCCTCGAAACCGCAGCTGTCGTGCCACCGTAAAAGAAAGCGAGGAGCCAACTGACAGCGTTAGAGACCGTACCTGGTCAAGGTGTCAACAGAAAAACCACCACCGCCCCGCTATATCCGCGCCACGCCCCATCGACAGAAGAGACACAACATAAATGGGTGCATTCGTGGGAGGAGGACGACAGACCGAGAAGAGGGGAGCTGCTGCCTGAGAAGAGAAGAGAAGAGGAGACGAGTACGTGACCTCCTCTCCTAATCCTATGACGCTTGTCTTCTTTTACCTGCTTTGCACGGAGAGTAACTCTTCTAAGTTGCTGTATTTGTTTTCCTGTCGCTCGCTAGCAAGCTAGCCGGTCTTCTGGGAAACAATGGCGGAGACAACCAAAGATGCTGCGGCGTTCCCACTGGTCGCGGTGGCCGTCGACAAGGACAAGAGCAGTCAAGCGGCTCTGAAGTGGGCTCTCGACAATGTTGTCACCAAGAACCAGATCCTCATCCTCATCCACGTGAACACCAAGGCTTCACGTAAGACCGACTCTCTCTTTGCGGCAACAGTACTTGCGATCACCTGCTCACTCTCCTTCTGATGCCGTGCAGCGGGGAATCAAGAGGACGCGGCGGCTGCAGTCCATGAACTACTTGTTCCCTTCCGATGCTTCTGCCAGAGAAAAGATGTGGGTAATCGGAGATTGCCTAGTCCACGTGAACCGTCGAACGTTTCTGATACGAACATTTGAGCATTTGACAGGTTAACTGCGTGGATATCGTACTGGACGACACCGACGTAACGAGGGCAGTCGTGGACTTCGTCGCACAGGCTGCAATCGAGAAGCTGGTGGTGGGAGCTTCCAGAAGCGGATTTATCAGGTGATCTTGTCATCGACATGCACTGGTTTATCCACGGGATAGAAGCATCTCTCATTCGATATCCGCACCATATCAGATCGTTTAGAGGCGCAGACATCAGCACCGGCATCTCTAAAAGCGTGCCTGATTTCTGTACCACGTACATCGTCACGAAAGGGAAGCTCTCCACTACGAGAAACGCTATCCGTGCGGCACCCACCGTTTCGCCTCTGCGGGCTAAACTCCAAAACCAGGCGAATCGACGAGCATCTAATTCCACGGATCATCGGCACGGTTTGCAGAGCGCAAAAGGTCTTTTTCGTAGTGAACATCGTTGCTGTTGTTCCCTTGCCTTGCCTTTTGCCTCGAGCTATAATCTTCCTTGTTGCCAGGTGATGCTGCATTTGGGACTCACAAACTACGTAAACAGACACAGACAATCGAGTAGGAGTTCCCACGACAAACATGTTTCCAACTTTCTTTGTGCTCCCAGCTCATCGTTTTGCCTTGATGCCTTCAAACAGGTCGCCAATTAACAGGAAAACACGCCTCGGGACCGCAATATTTAGCGGAGACAGCGACGCGTCGTTTGCGAGTAGCAGCAGAACGAGCACCGATCGATCCTTAGCTCAGAGGTTCTCCTACATGTCAGATGGCACCGATCGCAGCTCTGAGTCGGTGCAGTCGCCAACCAAGTCCTTCGGTGCTTATTCATATGGGACCGGCTTCTCTTCTCTGTCTCACGACAGCTCGTCATCCGAGGCTTCGGTACGTGCATTTTGCCCTCCATTAGCAAAGGAATGATGACATTATTAGCTCAAGAACATATGTATATTTCAAGGATATTTATGAGCCCTCACGTACGTATCTCGGGGACTTGCAGGATTACGTGGAAGCAGAGATGAATAGGCTGAGATTAGAACTCCAGCAGACAATGGATATGTACAGCTCGGCCTGTAAAGAAGCCATCGTAGCTAAACAGAAGGTGATGTTTCCGCGGTTATTACCACCAAAAGTAGAATTCGTTTCCTGATGATTCATCGTGCTACAGGCAATGGAGCTTCATCTTTGGAACATGGGGGAACAGCAGAGACTGGAAGAAGCTCGAGTAGCAGAAGAAGCTGCCTTCGCTATGGTGGGGAAGCAGAAGGCAAAGTGTAAGGCTGCACTGGAGGCAGCCGAGGTCGCCAAACTGATTGCGGATTCGGAAACACGGAAGAGAAGAGATGCAGAGATGAAGTTGGTCGGAGGTTATGAGGAGGATGAGGCCTTGGATTCTTGCTCTGCAGCCGACCTGAGATACAGAAAATACACGATAGATGAGATAGAAGCAGCCACAGATCGCTTTGCCAAGAACCGGAAGATCGGAGAAGGTGGGTATGGTCCCGTCTTTAGATGCTATCTCGATCACACGGAAGTCGCCGTCAAGGTACTGCGACCAGACGCAGCCCAGGGGAGGTCACAGTTTCAGCAAGAGGTAATGGATCTTGGAATCATTCCGAACAAACCAAGAAGCGTGTTAACCTTTGTCTTGCGTCCACTGCGATGGGCAGGTGGAAATATTGAGCTGCATTCGACATCCGAACATGGTCCTCCTCCTAGGCGCTTGCCCAGAGTATGGTTGCCTTGTGTACGAGTACATGGCGAACGGGAGCTTGGAGGACCGCTTGTTCCGGCGGGGGAACACGCCGCCCATGCCCTGGCAGTACCGGTTCCGCATTGCTGCGGAGATCGGCACAGGCCTGCTCTTCCTCCACCAAACCAAGCCAGAGCCACTGGTTCACAGAGACCTTAAGCCTGCGAACATCCTCCTCGACCAAAACTACGTGAGCAAGATCAGCGACGTCGGCCTGGCCCGCCTGGTTCCTCCGTCGGTGGCAGACAGTGTCACGCAGTATCGTATGACCTCCGCGGCCGGAACGTTCTGCTACATCGACCCCGAGTACCAGCAGACTGGCATGCTGGGCACCAAGTCTGACGTATACTCCCTCGGAGTGCTGCTGCTGCAGCTGATTACCGGAAGGCCGCCCATGGGGCTGACCCATCACGTCGAGCGTTCGATCGAGAGGGGAACATTTGCAGAAATGTTGGACCCCTCGGTCCGGGATTGGCCAGTCGAGGAAGCTTTGAGCTTGGCGAAGGTAGCACTCAGGTGCGTGGAGCTAAGACGAAGGGATCGGCCAGATCTCGCGACTATCGTATTGCCAGAGCTTAACAGGTTGAGAGCTATTGGTGTAGACAATATGCGCCCGTTTGAGCTCGACAACAGCATCCTCTCCTCACCGGTACACAGTGAAGTTTCCGTGCAGGTAAGATTTTTGTTCTTCCTCTCTTCTTCTCGCTCTACTATGCAGGTTGGTTGGCATATGACAGACACATCAAGACTGGACTGGTTTATATACGGCGTCCAAATCGTGCATGCGGAGTCATTTTTCATCTCTTTCTGTTCGTTCAGGACTTGAGGAGCGGCCCTTTACATCTGCAGTCAGGATATGAGAGTCCAAGAAGCCAACGCGGTGAATTATCCATCTTTGGAAGACGATGAAGCTCCTCTTGGGATTTGGTAATGTCACTTTTGCCTTTGGTTGTTGAAGGCAGCTTCTGAGGATCGATTGATTAGCAATTTCCAGTGTTGATTAGCGATGGATTCCTTCATGTGGAGCGCCCATCGACTATGTTTCGATGCCAACGAACTAAAATGTGAAGCCTTGCAGAACAAGACCTTTGCAGTGTGGCAACAAGTTGTAATATACTGCTTATGCTTCGTGACAACAGCAAGAGCGCTTTAGTTAGTGAAAGCTGTATTTGAGCAAAATGCTTGTAGCACCAATCATGTTAGTTTGGCAAGTCCCATAGTCTCACATCGGGAAAATAGGCTTGTTATCTCCTATTGGAACTATAAATAAAGGCTTGAGCTTTGAAGTCAGACACATCATAATAAAACCTTAGTTTGAACTTATACTTTGGATTTTTCTTATTTAGTATTTTCGGATGTTTTATGGTCTAGGAACATCTTCCTAAGGCATTTGTAATAATCCCAAATAGTATTTTAATTATTAAATTTTTTTTCGAAAAAGATGAAGAACATAAATATATATATATATATATATATATATATATATAATAGTGACATAATAGAGAAATACTTCAAAATTAATGATATGATAACTTATAGTCTCTGAGATCTACCTCTAATCTTTCTATCTCTTGTGGCTCTACTTTTATCTCTCCTTGGTATAAAAATATATTATACTAGATTTTATTTATAAATGGATAAACTTAAGATTTTGACTTTGACCATAACAGGAACTTCTATTTGGATTGAGATTGCTAGGCCAAAATTACATGTGATCACAATGTTTGATATAATATCCAAACATTCATAATCTCATTTCCTTACAGAATAAAAAGAAACTTAAACATATTTTAGGTTCAGAGATATGCCGATCAGTAGATGTGCAAATACGACACTTTTTTTTTGTTTTTGCTTATATATATATGTATATATTTATATGAGAGAGAGAGAGAGATGATATTTTATCTTATGCTTATATTTTTATATTAAAAATAAGCTCATTAATGCCCTACAATTACGTATTATATAATTTTTCTGATTAATCACGGCGCACCTACTCAGCTACCTGCTTTCTAATTCGAGGCAACGTGGGGCCCACAGGAAGGCGACTGGCATTGATAAGCCATTAATAAGGTAGGAGGAGGAGGAGTTAGATAGTCTATTAAATGAACGCGGGGTTGCGTTTACCGCCAGGAAAACGTGGCCCGCGCGGTCTCCGACGGCGGTTGGACGTCCGTCGCCGACTTCCAAAGGTAGGTCTGACCACGTCACACGGCGTATTACCACCCGCGGACTCGTCATATTTAAGGTTCCAAATACGTGCATCTCAGTCATAGGGCCATGTAGGATGAGAAAGAAACACACACCCACCCGACGAACCCGGTCCGGGTTCCCGGCGATGGGCCCCTCATCCGACTTCCTCGTCACGCGGTCGGCGCGTGCGGCACTTTAACGGAGTCCAGACTGTCGAAAAGGGTGGATCCAAACACCAACGCGCCGAATCGACGGGAACCCGGCCAGGTTCATTGTACCGGATGCACCGGAAGAATCGTGGACGCCATGACCAAGCTAATCTAGGGCAGCTTAGTAATTTCGAATAAGGCACGGCCGCTATAAACCGCAGCTCAACCCCGGCGTCGCTTCGTCACCGCTGAAACCATCGCATAGCCCACTGACGCCCTCAATCGAGCCCTCTGCTGTCTCCCGGTCGTTCTCCATTTCGGTTCTTATTCATCTGCGTGATCGAGGACTCGCTTGTGTGTCTCCATTCCAAGAGGAGGATCCAGCTCTGCTCCTCCTCCCGCCATATCCTTCTTCTTCTTCTCATTCGCCTTGCCTCGGATCTCGTTCTAGGTGAGTCCGTTGTTGCTTCATTAATGCCGGCGTTTGGCTTTCGTGTTCCTTTTTATGTGTTTTTTGGCTCCAGGATTGACCTTTATTAAGAGTTTTTTTTCTTTTTCCTGTCCGGAAGATTCATCGGATGTCGATAAGATGATGGTTCGCCATGAATAATGCAATCTTTGAGACTTTGCTTACTATTCTTTTGTGAAGATAGACGATTCCTTCTTCTTTTTGTTTTTGTTCGAATATGTTGATTCATAGAATTTTTCCTTTGATACTGCAAATACAAAGGCAGAAAAAAAAAAGCTGCTTTGAAGTTCCCCCCTTTTGGTTAAGTAATTCGTGTTATATCCTAATCTTACCATTGTTCTACGAAAGGCTAATATAATCTTTGGAATCGTGTTTTCGTCCGTTTTAATGGCTCTATCTCGCAGATCGATTTGTGATTTTTAGTAGACCATGCTGTGAAACAGCCTATTCGTCATAAACACGATTTGCTTCTTGAAGCCATTAGCGAGTTGCTGCTAAAAAATATCTTGTATGGATCCAAAACGCAGGGGTTCGACGATGGTTCTCTGGGTTTTTGGCTATGGATCTCTGGTTTGGAATCCAGGGTTCGACTTTGATGAGAAGATAGTAGGCTTCATTAAGGGCTACAGGCGTGTGTTTGATTTAGGTAAGGTTTTTAAAGAGGATAGCCAGCTCTTCCATGTCCCAGTTTTCTGGGAGCAAATAGGTCAATGCCTTGTGACGTGAATCTAAATCAAATTTTTGGTTTGCCAGCGTGCATAGATCACAGGGGTACACCAGAGAATCCAGCAAGAACCTGCACATTACAACCTGAGGAGGGAGCAATTTGCGTAAGTAGATCCGATGTATTTAGTTCTTCCATATGTAGTCAATCAATCATGAATGTCTATTGCTTAAGCATAATCTACGTTCAAGCCACATTCTCCTACTCGTCTTCATTTTGGGAGCATGGTGCAGTTATTCTTTAGATTATCATAATTACATTCTCTTGTTCATAAAAGATCCCCTGTTGCAAGAATGTAAAATTTTGTTAGGCATATGTTCAATTGACAATTACACTCTTTTGTTCTCATCAAGTGGCTAAATTTATTGCAGTGGGGTGCTGCTTATTGTGTTAGAGGAGGCATCAAAAAAGAAAGAGCTGCAATGAAGGTAGAATCAAGCATCGTAATTGAAACTTCATTACCTTACATCGTTCGATCTCCTACTGAACCTTCATTTCTTTTTTCCAGTATTTAGAGAGAAGAGAATGTGAATATGACCAGAAAACTTCAGTTGACTTTTACAAGGTACATAAATACATGGCTGTTCTCATCAAGCCGAAATGTCATCTTGAGTTATATTCTTTGGTTTTTGTTCCTTCTTCTCATTCCTCGTTTTTGGTACTTAATATTTTAGGAGGGGGAGACTTCTGAGCCAGCTGTAACAGGAGTATTAGTGTAAGATACCCAACCATTTGCCATATATGTTTCATATGTTTAGAGCATTTTATATCGGGGTTTGTTTTTTTTGAACTTCTTTAGTTTGACAATTTTTATTGGTGTGCAATTAACAAATATCTTAAATTTCAGATTCATATCAACAATGGACAAAGAAGCCAATAGGTATTACTTGGGCCCAGCTCCATTGGTTGAGATGGCAAGGTGACAGATCATCTTCATAGCTTTTCCTTTTCTTCCCTTCCCTTCCTGCCTGATGTCTTTATTGGTTATTAGTTTGTATGTGCTTGATGTTGAGTCAACCTCATCATCCTTCTTTTTCAGACAAATTGCTACAGCAAGCGGTCCCTGTGGGAACAATAGAGAGTATCTCTTTTTGTTGGAGAAAGCAATGTCAGATATAGGTAATCATACCTTGAGGACTTGCTTATTTAGATTATTCTTCATGGCCATTCTCTGCAAAGCTGATGCTCATATTTTTCTAAAATTAATCCGACTTGGTGACTCTGCATGTAGTTTCTCTCTGAACAATTTGTTTCTCCTATTCATTAGAACAATCGGAAATCTCGAGTTGCTCATTTGGAGTATTTGCCAAATCTCACTAGTTGTGAGGAACTACTTGAAGTAATCTGTAGTTTAGGTCATCGAACTCCTGAATCTATAGGAAGAAACAAAGGCAAAGACATGTCATTCCAACTAGAAATTCAAATAGCTGACAACTTCCCTTATCGATTGCAGGGCACGAAGATGATTATGTGATCGAGCTTGCAAATGAAGTGAGGAAGGTGCTTGAAAGTTTGAAACAGAGGACTCCTGTGATGCATCTGCCCCTGCAGTCCCACGCGCCGTTTCTGCATATCAAAACACTCCCAGAAACCACAGTTGCTGTTGACTCCTGATCTTAAATCATCCCGAACAAGTAGAAGACAACAGATGAAGCAATTGTCAACCCAATAATACACAAGGCAGAAGACATTTAAAGCATTTAAGAAAGGATTTTTTTTTCCCCACTGTCCGTTTAATTCATCTCTTTTGCATGTAGCACCACTAATTCGGAACCTAGGGTACCACCCTTGGATAAATCTCTGTTCTGTAGTTGAGAGGGTGAGAGATGGTCGATGTATACTTGACTCTATTTGTCATTGGAGTAAAAAGCAACATCTTTACATGATCTTCACATTCTTCTGCAAAACGATTACAACTGTGTGGCACTGCATGCCCATGAAAGACCTGCACAAAGAGAAAACCAAAGGATCATCTTTAGCAGACCATTCTTGTCTCCTAAAACCAAAGGATGGTCAGATGTAATTGATAGCGTATAAAATAGGTCGATTCACGGTGTACGTAGGAACCCGGTTGGGCCGAGCACGAGGCAGAACTCTCCTTATCATCGAATAAGGACACCTAGCAATTGTTCCCTTTCTGTCTCTTTCCTCACTCTTTATGCAACCCTAACTTACACTGAGATCCTCCTTTTGTTTTCATCAAAGTTTTTTTTTTTCTTTTCACTTTGTAGTTTTTCTCTCTTTGCTGCTCGCACGTCTTTTGATCTAATTTTGTGATCTTTTTGACGTTAGAAATCATAATGAGAACATCATTCATCAAAAATAAAGGTTTATTATTGAATTCCTCTTCCTCTCGTGTATGTGAAAGAGCTTTCACCTTTACAAATCACCATAGGGCATCGCTAGTCTAAAAATAAAGGTTTGTTTTTGAGATCCTCCTCGATTTTTCTATATAAAAAAGGTCTTTAATTATTGTAAATCAATTTAACAAAAATATTTACAAAATCTTTATAAGGAAATCATTTATTTTTATACAAAATCTTCATCACTCGCTCTTCTATCATTCGTAAAAAAAAAAAAAAAAGGTTCAGAGCTTTCATCTTTAGGAATCACTATGAGAAATCATTAGTCTAAAAGAAATGTTCATTTTTAAAATCCCCCTCAATTTCTCTATATGAAAGGAGGTCTCAATTTTCATAAATCAGTTTAATAAGAATATTTATAAAAATATCAATAGGGAATTGTCATAAAAGCTTCTTTTCATTCGTAAAAAAAAATAATTTATTCTTGATTTATTCCTTATATGGTACATAATATATAATAACACTATGACTACCAATTTCATTCATAAATCGATCTTACGGGACTATTAAGTTGACTTGGCATTCTAAATGTAAATCCAATAAACTTAGATTGACTTACAAGTCCACTTGATCAATATGTCGACTCGTTCAAATCAATTCGAGTCTTATATAAAAGAAAAAAAAAAACAAAAGTAATATTCATTTTGTTTCTTCTTAGTTTCTCCTTTTCTTAATCTTTACATAAGTCTTCCTTACGCTATAATCCTCCTTTTTATTTGTTTTCATTGTTTTTTTTCTTGATTCTAACTCCCTCTAACTTATTAATTTTGTCTATTCATGGCTCCCTCATATTTTTAATTCCAATTTCGTGAACTTTTTTTATGTTAGAAATTACAATGAGCACATCGTTTGTTAAAAATAAAGGTTGGAATTCCTCTTTGCTTTATGTATGCGAAGGAGTTTTCATCTCTAAAATCATCATGAGAAATCACTAGTTTTTAGAGAGGTTTGTTTTTGAAATCCTCTTCGATGATGACTCTTTGAAATCCTCATTGATTTCTCAACCTTTGTGAATCAATTCAACAAGAATATTTATAAAAATCTCAATAGGAAATTATTAAGAAAGTTTTTTTCTTGAATTCCTTCTCGTTTGAAAGAGTCATCTTTAAAAAACAACGAAAAAATCTTTCATTAATATATATATATATATATATATATATATATATATATATATATGTATATA